GTTAACAATCCCCACCTATGCTAACTGACTTGGGGTTGATTTGAGCCCAATGTTTAAAAATCAAACATCATATATGCAGGATAAACAAGTCTAGAGATCTAATGTACAACATGAGGACTGTGGCTCATACTATATTTGGAATTCCTACTAAATAAGAAGATTTTAGCTACTCTTGCCACAAAAAAACAAAGGTAACTATGTGCGATGATGGATATGTTGATTTGCCTCACTATGGTAACCATTTTACTATATATATGTATTCCATAACATTATGTCATGTAACTTAAATACATACAAGAAAATTTATTTTTAAAAGTAAAATAAGGTGGCTCAGCCTGTAATCCCAGTACTTTGGGAGGCCAAGGCCCGCAGGTTTGAGACCAGCCTGGGCAACTTGGCGAGCCCTCGTCTCTACAATAAATAAAAAATTAGCTGGGCGTGGTAGCATGCGCCTGTAGTTCCAGCTACTTGGAAGGCTGAGGCAGAAGGATCTCCAGAGCCCAGCAGATCAATGCTGGGGTGGCCGTGAGCATGTCACTGTATTCCATCCATTCTGGGTGATCGACTGAAACTCTAACACACACACACAGAAAAGTAAAATAAAACATAGACTCTCAGACCTGGAAAGAATGTTGGAGCTCTTTGCTCTATCTTTTACTCATTTTTTACTCATATTGCTAACAAATAATCAGAGGCTCAAAGATGTTAAGTAGCAGCCTAACGTCCCACTGGGTATCTGTACTGCAGCTAGAACTAGAACACACAGGCTGCTAAACTACTAACACTAATTTTTATTATTGTAGCATGCATAGCCACAGCCCCCATTCCTCCACAATAAACACACCCCATGCAGGCTCTTGAGCTAGGTTACCTGGGTTCAAGTTATAGTTCTAGTAAACTGCCTCTCTGTACTTCTATTTCCTCATGTAATATGCAAATATATTCATTTCTACCTATTGGGAATGTTGTGAAGATTAAGTGAATAACCAGGACAAAGCCTAGCTCAGTAGTATAAACTTTCTTTTTGTTATTTGACAGCGGATTCTTAACTCAGTCTGAATTTTTTTAACCAAGAATAAAATCCATTACTTAATATCTAGTAGGGTTTCCATGGAACACTTGCTAATTGCACTCCATATCTGCAAGGGGCTTACCTTTATAGTAGGAGATGCTATTGCTTGCAACTAACAATACCAAAGGTATTAAGTTGTCTAACTAGCCCTGACTAGCTCTCTGGACGCTAAAAATTACTCTTCTAGCTTTCCCTTTCATATGCAGAAAACAGCCCAGAGTAAGCAAATTTATTAGTATGAAGCAATAAAATGTTTTCTGATCACTAGGGAGTAACTGTCCCTTCCCCTCATGATCAATAATGATTGTGAACACTGTGTACTATGCGAATAAATTCACACTGTCTTGTTTCCACAGCAATCACCATGCAGACAACGCTCTTTGATATAGATAATCTTTGTTTCTATTAGAAATTCAAAGTGAACCAAGTAACATTAAAAAATAATAATTAAAATACAGTAAGAATTTTCAACAACAAATGCTTAATGATTTCTCACTAAGCAATGCATCCTCCATTATTGCTTAAGTATTCCAGGTAACTTAATTTTCCAGGTTATCTACCCAATAGAGTAAAACTGCCTAAAATGAGACAGCTCTTTAGCGAACACAGGATAGGAATTTGGACATTGATTTTTAAGGAGGGCAAAACTTTATACACATATTCCTCACCTACCACAAATTTAATTCCAGTATTTCTAGATCATTCAATCTAAAAATACTAATTTCAAACTGCATGTAACAACACAATAAATAGAAAAAGCACTAGACTAATAGGTGAGAAAGTCATCTGCTCATCCTGATTCTGGCACAAAGTAACAGTATGACCTAAACAAGGTCATTTAACTTTCATTTTAACTCAGTTTCAACTACAGTAAAATAATGTGACAGGGTTAAATAGTCTTTCTGCCAGTTTTAGCTCTAAGAGGCTATACCACAACTCTATGGAATGTTGTCTTAAAAAGGGAAATTTTCATCTCATTCTTTTCCTTTAAAAACCAGGTTGGAAAAATAAGAGTCACCAAAATGGGCATATCATAGAATGTGGAAATCTATTAATTGATGGGTAAGTGTTAGAATAAAAACAACTGACCGGTCAGAGTACATGACCCAAGGTATCTGTTTCTGATAAAAGCAAAATCTTTGCAGAAATACTGGAGAGGGGAGAAAAATAAAACAACTTGCCACTTTTCCGAATTAATTTAGTTTAAAAATCACGATTGCTTTTTGTAATATTTTTTTCTGCTGAGAATGCCACATTCTTCTCTTCTTCCTCATTCCATCTCTGAATGAATGTCCAAATTGACAATATTGCACCAAAATCGACTGTGTCCCTCACAAAATAGAAGTTTTAGTAACCTCTTATTTCCCTAAGCACTCTTTCTTCAGAACTTTAATAATGCGTTATCTCTATTCAAATGTCCCTTATCTCTTTCTATGCTACAAGTAGCACCTTCCATATTGAATGGTTAGGTCTCACCTAATTTAGCTTCGAATTCCCCACAAAATAGAGTATAGTTTCCTATGTTAAAATGCATGTTTAATAACTAGTGGAAAAATAGTTATAAACCCCAACTCAAGAAGTTTTCAATTCCTAAGTTCTTAAAGCACAGAGCAAGTCCATAACTTTTGTTAAAAATGTCTTAACTTTTTTTTTTTTGCCTCTTTCCCAGTTACTACAGGCCAAGGAAGCTCACAGTTGCCACTTCAGGGCTTCAAAAATTCATTGTGAACTATTATTCTATGTGGGGCAAGATAAAACCAAAAGATAAAGTAGGAATATATTTTAATCAGATAAAATAGCTTGTCCAGAAAATTAAATGGATAACTCTCTCCCGTTAGATAGTTAGAAAATTGTAAAGAGTGATAAAAACTACCAGCAGTTCCAGTGACTGCCTACAGTAAATCATATTTCATCAAAAGTGTTACCTAATTCTAGAGCCATGATAAGGTTAAGCACTGTGATAATGTGATCAGAAAAGAGGTTTCATTTAATCTCTTGGTTATGCAAATTAATCACTACGTTTCTCTTTTCCAATCTATAAAGTTAAGGTCACTGCATATTTTACCACATATTCACACAGGACATTTAAAGGTTTTTATAATATAGTGAGCTGTTTAGACAACTAAAACAAAGCTCCTTAGGCAAGACTTTACTATTTAATTTCTAATGAAACTTGTGCTATAAAAAACAAAATTTTAAATTCTATTCACAAACTCCTGGATAGGCTACATAATTATTTATACTATTTAGAAAAATTTTGTGTAAAAGAGACCCATATGTGGCTGAAACTACATTTTTTATATATTTACATACATTATCTCTTTAAACTCCAATCATTCCCAGTTTATGACACTTATTTTACAGATCAAAATTATGCACAAAGATATTCATTTTTCCTAAACTGGTTAACAAGAACACTTTACAAAATTCTCAAAGGAATTACAATGATAATTTTTAAAACAATATCCCAACAGATACCAAGATCACAGAAATGGGGGGGAAAATTTGCCTTATTTTCACTGCAGTTGGAGTCTTTCATTAAGTAGCACTTTCTTAAAAGTTCTATGCTTTTATCTAGCAAGGGTAGTATAAAATTTCACAAAGGATAAACTTCTTAATTTGAGGACTCCCAAAAGAGACTGTCAGTATAAGTGGTCTGACTTGGTGTTTTTAATAGGTGAAATATGATCTCTCTTGTGACCAGTTCAAGTTCGTCTAGGAACCCACTTACACTTATTTGTTGATACTGGATATGGATGGATTACATTAAATTAAAACAAGGATAATTTTGATAAATTATACATTTAACTTGGACACAGCCAAAAAGTTTTCATAGATTTCAATAATATTTAAGCTATGCCTTGCAATAGAAATACTTTTAATTAAAAATATCATGCATAGCAGCTAAAACAGTTTCTTAGACAACACTTCTAATCAATCTTGTGATTTACAAACAAAATTTTAAACTCTATCCAGAATCTAAAAATATCAGTAAATGAAAAGTCAACAAAAATTTTCAGCATATTTCACTACAAATATTTCACAAGTAATTTAATATGTTCCTTTCTAAACAAAATGAAAATTCAGAAAATAAATATTTATATAAAGTATTCAAGTATTTCACAAATAAATGATTATCTAAATGATTTTTTAAATTCTACATATAAAATGAGAATTTTAATCTCTATTTTAAAGTATATTTTAAATAAATATGCATATTTGCAAAGCACGGTAACTCTCACTCTTGATTTACATTCAACCAATATTAAAATATATAGACTTATAAATCAGGAGTAAAATCATATAAACAAAAGGACTACAGAACAAGCTTTTGGACTGAAGAGGTCATGGTTTATATTTGTACCTGCAGATGTGTAGCAGAATAATGAAACACTAATCACTCAAAAAAAAGTAGCTAAATTGAATTGACTATTTATTCACTGGTAAAGAAAAAAAAATTCTCTCAGAATTGTAAATATTTCTGACAGGGAACAGAAGGAAAGAAAAATATGTGCCAAATATTTTGATTGAACTTAGACATTTACAAAATAATTCCTGAAACTGAAGTTTTGCACTGGGCACGAAAAGATACAATTTTGTTCCACCCATCCCTTGACACAATGAAAGTTAACTTTTCTTAATTATCCTAAAAAAGACTGGTCTAGGGATTCAGCTAACCGCAATGTGATAAACTAATACAATACTTCCAGACTGAGGTGCAGAGGTGAACAACAGCTTGGAAGATGTGAAACACACAGGCTTTGTCAGAAGTAATGAATATAGTGTTTAAATGGAACTTAGTAGGACTCTCTGAGCTTCTAATAGCCCACCCAAAGTCAAAGCTACCATCAAAATACAGCAAATCTCTAAGGAAAAGTGTAATAGGCATAAAAGAAGAATTATGAAAGTAATTCACAGATATACTTACGGATCCTCGGAGAAATAAAATCGGAACCCCAATTCCAAAATTTTCCCCTAAGATGCTCACAGCAGATAATAGCTGAAATGCTTGTGGACCAAAGTCCTGGGATATATCGTCTGAATCATCAATGGAATAGCAACAGCCCAATCTAAATAAAAATAGTAATACAGTAAGAAAGCTTAGCTAAGGCATGTACTTTTAGAAATAAAAAGATTTAGTGTAACAATTAGCCAACTAAAGAAAATCTGAAATGTGCCAACTGCTTCAGAAGCTACAAATAAACTACATTATAGCCAAGAACGTATGTCACATAGAAAACATAAAAATAAACTATAATATAGTATATCAGATATGTTATAAATGGTTCTCAATCTTAGGGCCCTAGAATTGAGTTTCACGGGAGGTAGCTCAGACAGTAGAGGGGAAAAAATTCAAATGGTATTTATAGCTAGAACAGGTTCATCTGATCAGTTTTATAAATATTGGACTTTTGTGTTAGGCTTTATTGGGGAAAAAAAGGTTTGTTGCCAAAAAAAAAAAAAGATAAAAGGTGTTAAACTTAAAATTTAAATAATCTCAGTTGCTGCCTCTTTCTTCTGTCATGCCTTGTGCTGTTTGTGTGTGTGCTCGTTCGAAGAGGACCTGGTACCTCTTTGGCAAAGCAACAGCTGAGGAAATTCCTGTGCTCCCCATGGGCAACAGAAAGCCCGAGGAAGGAGTCAAGCAGACAACAGGGATCACGCTGATTTGAAGGTGTCTGGGCAGGATGGTTCTTGCTGCAGTGTAAAATGAAGAGGTATGCACCACTTGGTAAACTAACGAAAGCCTATTGTGAAGTACAGGGTTTATCAAAGAGGCAGAACAGATTCTGATTTGACAGGCTGTCAAGGAAAAAGACACACCTGCATATTTGAAAGTGGGGGCTGAAGACAAAATGGATGCACGCCAGCAGCAGACAGGAGGTGTCTACTAAAAAGGGCACCTGCTACTTTACTCCAGAACTCTGTTGTTACAGACCAAGAATATATCTCAATTAGAAAGTTGCATTTTGGTCCCACCACATTCTGACCACGCCAGTAGAGTTTTTTCTGTGCTTTCATTTTCCTCTTCCCATTCCTTTATTGAAAAGAAATCAACTGATATATGTGCACAAGCATATTGTTGCTGTTGTTTTTAACTAAATGATATGTTTTGATTGACTTCAAATGGAGATGGTATGAGGAAGAGCAGTGGTTCTGAGAAAGATCTCCTTCCTCCCTTACTGGCATGTTCATTCAGTTCTTATCTTCATATACCAGTAAGTTATTTTGTCACCACTGTTTTAGCAAAAATAATAATAGTATTAATTAATTAATTAAAAATCCTTGCGTACCTTTTGTGCTGCAGTAATTTAGTGTTTTTCATTTATCATTGTAAAACCAAAGACAATTTTATAGCCTTTTTAATGTAGTTGGGATACATTACTCTAAAAAAATCCTAGACAGTTTTTCTTTAAGTCAATTGTCTTGCCTAAATAAACTTTTTGTTTAAAATGAGGGGAAAAAATTTCCTGTGCAATAAATTGTTGGTTTAAACGTGAATAAGTATAAAATATGACAAGAAGATTATAAACCTTTCATTTAAGTACATTTAGAAGTTAAATTCCTAAGTCATCTCTCAGGTAGATTATCATTAATACAAATGATACAAGTTATAATTAATAAAAATGAAAATTCTTCAAGTAGATTGAAAACAAAAGTACTCTTAAATCTACTCTAAAGAAAATCTAGTAGTAGACTGAACCTACCTAATTCAATTGCTTTCCTTATAATAAGTATCTCTGAAATAGCAATAAGAATACATTCAATATTCCTGACATTCTTTTGGGGGAGAAGAAACATGTTTAGGTTTATTCTCCTAGTCTAACCTCTTTAGTGAGATGCCGAACAGATTAATTTTCTTTTCTAATATGAGTATTTAAAGCTATCAAATTCCCACAAAGTTCTTCCTATGCTGCATCTTACCAGTTCTAATGTATTTTATTATAATAATCACTAAGTTCTAAACACTTTTAAATTTCCAATTTGATTTTTCTTTGATTATGAATTATTTAAAAGTGTTATTTTAATTTCCTAATACATAAGAAATTTTTTTGTATATACTCATATACTTCTAATTCAATTGCACCCCTGTCAGAAAATGTGGTCAGTTTGATACCAATTCACTGAAAAATTTCTGAAACAAGTTACAGTCTAGTACAGGAGTCAGAAAACTTTTTCTATAAATGGCCAGATAGGCTCAGTGGCTCAGCCTGTAATCCTGCACTTTGGGAGGCTGAGATGAGTGGACTGCCTGAGCCCACAGGTTCGAGACCCACCTGGGCAACTTGGCGAGACCTCATCTCTACAATAAATCAAAAAAAAATTAGCCGGGCGTGGTAGCGCATGCCTGTAGTTCCAGCTACTTGGAAGGCTGAGTGGAAGGATTGCCAGAGCCCATCAGGTCAAGGCTGCGGTGGCCGGGAGCGGCCACTGCACTCCAGTCTGGGCCACGGGGTGAAACTCCAAATCAAACAAAACAAAACAAAAAAAATAAATGGCCAGATAAAATAGTTCAGGCTTTGTAGGTAGGTACCTTCTTAATTCAAGCAGCCATAGAGAACACATAAAGAAAAGGATATTGCTGTGTTTAAAGAAAACTTTATTTACAAAAAGAGGCAACAAGGAGATCTGGCCCATAAGCCACAGTTTGCTATGCCATGCTCTATTTCATAGTCAATTTTTATAAATATTCCACGTATGTTTAAGAACTATTCAGTGCTCCCCAATCAGTGTGCTAGAAATGAATTCTAAGTGTGTGAAAGGTTAATCACTCCAAACACTAAGGTTCTGGACAAAACCTGGTCTCTGACAATTAGCCCAGTGTGCTATACAAATAGTATCATTTGCTATGTGAGTTATGAAGTAAAAACATTTGAGATACACTGCTCTAGGTGCCTGGTCTAGGATTCCACATACTGTGTCTGATAAATCAAACTCATCACTATGTGGACCAAATTTTCTATAATATCCTAATATTTTGATTGTTTACTTACCAATGATTAAAAATTATATCAAACTCTCCAACTCTGATGGATTTGTTGATTTCTCCAGCTGTTCTGCCAGTTTGCGCTTTATGTATTTAAAGTTTTTTTCTTGAGGTTCATAAAACAATTATGTCTTCTTGGTGAAGGACTTCATCATTATACAGAGAACATTTCCATCCCTAATGATGACTTTTTTTTTTTTTTTTTTGATCAGGATCTCATTCTGTTGGCAGGCTGGAATGCAGTGGCACGATCATGGCTCACCACAGTCTCAAACTCCTGGGCTTAGGTGATCCTTCTGCCATAGCCTCCCAAGTAGCTGCCACAATGCCCATCTACTTTTTTAACAACTTTTTTTTGTGTGTGTGGAGACAGGGTCTCATTTCATAGCCCAGGCTAATCTCAAACTCCTGGCCTCAAACTATCCTCCTGCTTCAGTCTCCCAAAGCACTGGGATTAGAGGTGCCAGTCACTGTGTCCAACTGCTCGGTTATTTGGTCAAACACTAATCTAGATGTTGCTGCAAAATATTTGGTAGATACGATTAACATTTACAATTTGTTGACTTTAAGTAAAGGAGATTATCCTCAATAATGTGGATAGGTCTCATTCAATCAACTGAAGGACTTTAGAACAAAAACTGAGGTTTGCTGGAGAAGAAATTCTGCTTCAAGACTGCAATCATCTTTTGCATGAGTTCCCAGCCTGTTGGCCTGCTCTACCAATTTTAGACTTGCCAATCCCTACAACTTGTGAGTCAATTCCTTAAAATCAGTTCCCTCCCTCTCTCTCTCCCCTTTTTCTTTTCCTCCCCTTCTTACTCTAGCTCCCTTCCTCCCTCCCATATATGTACACATGCACATACATATAACATATACATATATGTAAACATATATATAATCGCCATGAAATAATCGATCCTGTTTCTCTAGAGAACCCTGACTGATATACTAGTCAGTTGTCCTTTGTTCCTGGTAATACTCTTTGCTTCAAAGTCTCCATTGTCTAATATTAACATAACTCCAGCTTTCTTTTGATTATTGCTTTCATAGCACATAAACAGTTTATACTTTTTTTAACCTATGTATAAAATTATACTTGTAGTCAATTTCTTGTGGACATAATATAGAACAGGGTCATTTTAAAAAATCAATTCGGACAATTTATGCTTTTAAATAATATTTTAGACCATTTATATTTAATGTAACTATTAATACATTTAAATTTAGGTCTACCATTTTATTGCTCTATTTGTAAAGTAGAATACTCTAATTTTGCTTTTTGGCTTACATCTCAATAAATAATTGAGATTTTATTTAAAAACTAAAATACGAATCACTCAAAAGGAATTGAATTAAACATAATTTGAAAGGGAAGAGAAGTAACTACTTTTAGAACGTTCATCTATAAGAAGAAATCTTTACCTGGACCTGCAATTATCACAGCATTTTTCAGTTCCCATAATTCCCAAGGAGGCTTTTCGTAGTTGTTTGTCCTCAAAATGAGACAAGATGATTCTACCCAAGAGAAAATTTTAAATTAAATAAAAGAACAAAAAGGTATATATTAAATTCATTCCTGAAAATAATGAGCTAAAACCATCATTAATTGCTTCACTTGGGACCTCATTATTTGACTTCAGTTTACTCAGGCACAAAGAAGGTTGCCTTAAAAATTCAGCACACATGTAACATCAACACAGTATTTTCTCAAAATACTTCTAACTACTTAGCAAACTTTTTTCTTTAAAGAACACTACCCATAAATCAATATTAATTGATATAAAATAAATAATACATACTGTCTCCTACACTTGCTGGAATAAAGGTATTTTTCCATCTTTGCTATCATCTTTAATTTGCATAATCGAAACTTTTCATTATGTATCTCAGTAAGGCGGTTCCTGTCAACAAAAAATATCACAGGAATATGTAAAACTGTATTAGCAATTTTGTTACTTTTTATTTACTTTTTATTTGTTTTTCATAACCTACAAAACCCACACCCCATCAAGTTAAGAACATTTCTATCACCCCAGAAAGTTCTCTTATATTCGCTTTATAATCAATACCCCTCACCAAGGCAAGAATTTTTCTGATTTTTTTTAAATGAAAATTGCTTTTGAAAAAACCTCTACCTTTGAAAAAAACTCTACCTATGTCCAAGTATCAATTATTTAGCTGGTTTTGGAAAAGTATTATAAACTCTAAAGTTTTTCATTTTGTTTTATATGTCACACACTCTTTGGCTTCTAGCAAGCCATCTACAATATATCCATTTTTACCTTTTCCCAGTAAAAAGATTATTACTTATTTTAATTTATTTTCTATGATAAACTAAGTGATTAATATAAAGAATACCGAAAGAGGCTCGTGACCCAAACGTGAGCAAGCCTTCATCCCTGTTAGCTCTGCAGATCTCCTCCCTCCAAAACTGTCTCTTTGGGTCATGGGGTATAATGGGACACCAGGAAAATACCATAATTAAGTTCCTTTCTCAATCAATTACAGATGAATTTTTTTTTGCCATAATGCAGAATTTATTTAAAATTGTTAAATGACATTAAAGACAAGTTTGTTTATTTTTTTAAATACTACTAGAACTTATCCTGACACTTTTTAGTCTTCTGTGAAGAAATCCCATAATGGACACTCAAAAACACACTACTGAATAATAAATTAAAAACAAAAATTGTACTGGATAGGCATTCTGAATATGTTCCTTCAAGATCTCAATTTATTCATCTACACAGAGGTGTATTTTGAAAATACTTCATCCTGGCAGCCCCATCAGTTACCATATATAGGTTTTCCTCCTGATATTTTCTTTCCTATGAATGAAGGAATAAGTTGATAAGTGATACCCCTAAAAGTTTTGTAAAATAAAGTTCTCCTTTCCAATAAAAACCTCACAGAACTTAAGTTCTAAAAAAAATATTAGGTTGATGCATAAATTCATAGCATTTATTTTTGGCATGGCTACACTGTGGCATAGGGAGTTTATCATTTGTCATTTGGAGTGACAATGTTGTGCTTGTGAGCACACTTTGCATTTTGCAGATTTGAAGAAAGTTAATGCTATCTGTGGGCTACAGAAGATAGAGTGCCAAATGGAAAAAAATGAACGCTTCTGACATACTCTTGTGTTTGAGCTTAACAGAGGAGTAAAGGGAGCAGAGGCAGCTCAAAACATTTGTGCCATGTTCAGGGAGAATGCCATCAGGAAAAGCATGACAAGAAAATGGTTTTGTCATTTCAAAGAGGGTCCTTTTGACCTGAGTGATTCTCCACATTCAGGAAGACCATCAGGCTTTGATGAAGATCAAACACTTTAATCCATGATGATCCATGTCAGTCAACCTGAGAATTGGCATATATGTATGAACTGTGATCAGTCAACCATGATGAGACATTTACAATCCACAGGCAAGCAAAAAACGCTATACATTTATGTATCAATCCAATACTTATTTAGTATGTAAGTAGAATGGTTTTCCTGTATTAAACACCAAACACAATGCATTTTTCACAGCAGTCTATCAGTACAGCACAACACAATTACTCATGCACAGTCCAGGAGAGCTGGCATGCTCTCATGAACTAAGGAAAGAAATAGCAACAAGAGTCAAATAGAGATTGGGAGGTGTCTTTTGGAATAATCCTCACATAGCATGGGAAGAAAGAACCAATAGCAAAGGAAAGGGTATCTAAAGTAACATGGTTGAAGGCATATCATAACTTGAGAGGATCTGAGGAGAAAAAAACACTGTTCATTAACGTACAATAGTAGGAAAATATTCCACAGGATCTAAATTACATGCCCAAGTAGAGCCCTGATTTGGTTAATTCCTCATGCTAACTGAGGCATGGCTAAAAGCAGGACATCTCCACATGGAAACACTTACCACAAATACTGAGGTGTCCTCTGGTTTTTTGGCTTAAATGCACCCACAAATTTAAAATGGGACATTGCCTCAAATACTTTCAGAGTTTAAATGAAAAAAAAAAAGAAATCTGCAAGAGAAAAAGCAATAATTTTTTTTTTACCTATTTAAGTTAAAGTCTGCTGGAGCCCAGAGTACATGACAAGAACTTTGAAGTCCATCACGACCAGCTCTACCAATCTCCTGGTAATATGACTCCATTTCCTTAGGAGCACCATAATGAATGACTTTGCGAATGTCAGCTTTATTAATGCCCATTCCAAAAGCGATGGTAGCTATGACACACTGAGAATAAATGACAACACAGTTTGACAAACATATTTAGCAGAACTAAAATCTTACATTTATACCTTTCAATAAGAATCATTCATTAATTAACTAGTCCCTGGCATAAAACTGAATTTAATATTGTGTCATCCAATCATTAAAAGATTATCTACCTAAACTACAGATTAAGGATTGCTGACTATAAAATGAGATTTCTGTTCACTCTCAAACTCCTGGGCTCAAGTGATCCTTATACCTTGGCCTCCCAAAGAGCTGGGATTACAAGCATGAGCCACTGTGCCCAACCTTTCTGCTCACTCTCTATAAAAAGTAGTAAAAGAGATCATAATACTGTAAGAAAGGGATTGGCAGTGGTTGGAAAATGCCAGGGAGGGGGGGACATACTTCATGAATAAGTGTACCTGATCTCAAACCAGGTAAAGTGGGTACCAAAGTGAGACCCAAACTTTACCTGTACAATGAACATTTGTATACCTAACTCTGAATTGTACCCTACCTCTTTAAAATAAACATTTTTTTAAAGTAGTAAAAGATAAACTCTATAAAAAGTGTTTCTCTGAATACTTGGTGAATACAAGACACAAAATAGGCTCAAAATATTACATTAAAATTTTATTTTACTATTAATTTTCAAGTGTCCCTATCTGATTGCAGAGTATCTTAAAATTTTCTAACATTACTCTAAAATAGAAGCTTCTCACTAAAGATAGTAGAATGAAACATGATGCATTATCTCAGCATCTTTAAAAAGATAAAATTGATAGAATGCCTAATACATATGAACATACTGAGATAACATTTTCATGATTGTGGGAAATTTTAGAAAATAATTAATGGTAAGAACATAGAAAACTAAACAAGTTTTTAAAATGTATTAACCATAAAAATATAAAAAGATAAGCAACAAAAATAACCATAATATACTACTTAGCTTAGAGATTAAAAAAAAAATTTACAGATTAATAATTGTATAAATCCTCAAAATTAAGATATAAACCTATTGGGAGGAAAAGGGGTTAGAAATGCATGGACAGAAAAAAAAAAAACAACTTTCATCTTTCATAGTAGGGAGTCAACTAATAAACAAACAAAAAAGTTAGTACCAGTATCAGCAATCTATGGCAAGATACAATGGTAAACACCAAAAGAATGCGCTAAAGAAGTTGGAGTGGAAAACATAAGTGGGAAGTATGAGGGACTGATACTTTTCATTGTAAGCACAGTAAGATTATTTGCCTGTATTACTGATAAAAATTAAAGTGCCACTTGGATGGACTTAAAGTCCATAATACTGAGTGATCAATCATAGAAACAAAGAACTGAGTACCACATGTGCTCAGTCATAAGCGGACCTTGAACAATTATCACACTACTATAAGAAAGGGATTGACAGTATTGGCAACTGGGGGAAGGAGGCACAGAAATAGCAGTAATGGGAAACTGCTGGGGGGCAGGGGGCACACCTAATACACCCCATCAACAAGGGTCCTGCATAATGAGCATTTGTATATCTAACCCTGAATTGAGCCCCATATCCTTAAAATAAAAAAATTTCTTTTAATTAAAGTGCCATTTAATAAAGAATATATACACTAAAATGGACCAGAAATTCAAGAGGAAGGAAAGGAAGAAGTGACAGATAGAAGGAGGGAGAAAGAAAATGCTGAAAATAAGTAAAAGAAAGGAAGAAAAAGGTGAGGAAAAAAAATGCACAATAAAAATTTAAGAATAAATAAATATTTTAAATAATTTAATCATTAATTAATTTTGTTATATTTAAGAGTGATTAACAACACAGTAATAATTCTAATTTTCATCATATGATATTATTTTCGGATGAATCAACTCATTTTACAGATATAATTTTCAAAATACTATATCCTCATAAACTCTCAAGAATAAAGATATTTAAGCTATTTTATCAAATAATGTATCCACAACCTCAATCCTGAAAGAAATTCAAGGGAAAATGAAATACAAAAGGATACAAAAGTAAAAGTCAGGATTAAAAATAAGAATAAATGGTCACAACAGACACTTCACAAAGGAAGACATCCAAGCAGCCGACAGACACATGAAGAAATGTTCAACCTCACTAATCATCAAGGAGATGCAAATCAAAACCACACTGAGATACCACCTAACTCCAGTCAGAATGGCAATTATCAACAACTCAAAAAATAACAGCTGCTGGAGAAGGTGTGGCGAAAAGGGAACACTTATACACTGTTGGTGGGAGTGTAAACTAGTGCAACCTCTGTGGAAAGCAGTGTGGCGATTCCTAAAAGCTCTAAATATCGACCTCCCATATGACCCCGCAATCCCCCTACTAGGAATATATCCTGAAGAACTCAAATCACTCTATAAAAAAGATATCTGCACACGTATGTTTATCGCAGCATTGTTCACAATAGCAAGAACCTGGAAGCAGCCATGCTGTTCATCAAAAGAGGACTGGATTAAAAAAATGTGGTACATATACACGATGAAATACTGCATAGCCATAAAAAAGAACAAAATCATGAATTTCGCAGCAACCTGGATGGAACTAGAGTCTATAATACTGAGTGACCTCTCACAGAAACAAAGATCCGAGTATCACATGTTCTCATTCATATAGTGGACCTTGAACATCCAATGTAATACTATAAGAAAATGACTGACAGTAGTGGGAAACTATGGGGGGGAGATGGGATTAATGGTAGTAAATATCTGTCTGGGGATGGGGAAACACCTCTTATCAACAAGGGTGCCTGAACGAAACGTATTTGTATACCTAACCCTTAACTGTACCCCACAATATCATAATAAAAAATATTGATTATATAAAAAAAAAGAAAATTTGCCAAGTTAAAAAAAAAAAAAAGAATAAGTGGTCACAGACTAAAAATATAAATCTATCTCCAAATGTGTTTGGATGGGGTTCTAAAATTAAGAAAGAGTTTTTTTTTTAATTATAGAATACTAAGATTCTAAGCATCACTCTATCTAAGATATTAAGAGCTTTGGAGCCCATCTCTACTTTTACATCCAAAGGTAAAAATCAACTTGGAAAAGACAGGAAAGTGTATACCTAGAATTCTGTACGTCACAACCAGCTCTACCAATCTCCTGGTAATATGACTCCATAGATAGATGTACAGAATTCTGTACATTTAGTAGCTATTCAACAGATACTCAATGGCAAATAATCAATTCCAAGAGCACCAGACCATTCTACATAGATAATGAAATGTATTTTAATCATCTTGAGAAAGTATTTGAAAACTTTCAATGCAAATATGAAGCTTTTGAATTACTTGTAATGGCACAGAAGCACACTGGGCCAGATGACGGATATAACAGAATACCTGATGTCAGCCTAGGGTGAAGCAGTCAATATTAACTTATTAATTTTCATAATTTAGAGACAAATTTATGACATCCTGCCATAGAAAGGGAAAATATAGTAGCACATACATACATATATCTTTCTAGAAATTAGATGCTGTGAGGTTTAATTAATCACTGTGAGGTTTTTCAAAATTTTGAAATTTTTCAAAATATTCATTAATGTTTTAATGAAGCTGTGCATTGGCAGGAAAATCCGATGCATCCAACAAGGTCTCCCATGACAACATAACATGGATTAAGTTTGTACTCTCTTATGCCTTTGGGAGATATTTTAATCTAAATGAATAATTACTAATACATCAAGACAGACGAATCTATTGGTCAGTTAATGGCTTGAAGATGGATTGTTAAGATTCAGTAGTAGCAGCTATTAAATGTTATCTGACAATTTCAAGCTGTTGAGATAATAGAATTAAAAAGTAAACACTCAAAAATTTGGATAAAATCTCCATTCTACACAGTGTTAATAGGTATTCCTATCTTTGGAAAGAAGGGAAAGAGAGACTAGATGCTTTCAGGCAGGTATGCATTACAGCACAACTACACATATTGAACTTTATAGACAGTACATATAAATCACACTTAAGATAAGCTTTTGAACAACCAGATATCATAGGACGGGCTGGACAGAAGAAGAAAGGATGAACTTATTGGACAGAAAATGTCAGAGCTGAATTTAATCTTTTAACATAAGAGGGGGACTATCTCACAGGCTTATAGTGACAAAGTGTGAATAATTTACTGACAGTGTTAAGTTGTTCCTTTAAATATACTCACGTGCCTTGAATTTAAATCCTCCCAAATATTCTCTATGACACCCACTGAACCAGGCCAATTACTGTAGGAAACTCAGCTGTAATACTTCACAATAACTTCCTTGATGCCCTTCCCTTCTATTTCTCTCTTTCAAATCAATCCAACTTAGTGCTGCCAGTCTAATACTCCTATAATACTATTATCTTGTTCAAAAAACATGAAGTAATATATCATGATGGTTTTCAAACTCTAGTCTATGGCCCTAAGGATTATAAGGCACCAACAGGAACTGTCAGTGATTTGAAGGCTTTGGGACCTCCTTTCCTCTCGCATCAACTTCAACCAGAATTATTCTACTTTAATCTGTTTTACCAATTAGACAGAATTTCATCAAAATGAAAAATTCTAAGGCTAAAATACTCAGAAAAAAGTACAGGTACATGACATCAAGTAAAGTCTGCCTCTTTGCAAGTTTTACAGCTGTCCATAATTTGGCCAACCAACTCATTCAACTTTTTCCCCATAGTCTCTGCAGAGCTCCTCTCTGCTGTTAGCCATACTTTGTGCCATTCTTATTTCACACTGTCATTCTCTCCAACCATTCCAAGCCAGTCACAACTTCCTGAACCCAGTATGCACTCTCATTTCAAAGTGTCTTAGCATCTGCTAGTCCTTCTTCTTGGAATTTATAACCAATTCCTTTTCTCTCATCACCCAGTGGCCTGGCATACTTGACAAACTTCTGTTCACTTGTTCAGACTTACTCTAATTGCATCTTCCTGGATGGAACAACCCACTACATAGCCTATCTTGACAGAGCTAGTGTTCCCTCCTCTGTGCAGCTAAGCACTAGGCATGAGTTGCTATTTATACCAGTCTGCAGCAGTTTATTCATATACCTATTTGCCACATTATACACTGATTCCCTTTATCAGAAGGACTGCTTTATGCTCAACATAGTGCTCAAAGGAAGTATTCGGTAAAGACGTGGTATGCAAACACTTGAGAAATATCTATTTCCACTATGAGGAATAGAGAGTAGTAATGACCAATCCTCACACCTGAATCTCATCCCTCATGAACCTATGATGAATCTCTTTCCTTGTGTTAAAACTCATGCCTGCATGGTATGTTCCACAGGATAAATTGAGTTTCCTAAGTTCAGCGGTAATTTGTTCTGTCATTTTTCTGGAAGGACAATAGATGATGGTTGAACCTTCAAAATCCCAGTGAGAACTAAAGAAAAAGAAGAATAAAAGAACAAACATACATGTTACATATATGCTTCAGACAAGTTTGGGTTTTATCTTACTTAATTTTTATTTTCTACTTTTTAAATCAAAAACTAAAAGGAGAAAGTATATCAAAAGCAATGATGTTTAACTGCATAAAAGTTTAAAACATCATGGAGACTCAAATGTGGAAATGAACTGTGTTCAGCTCCCAAAACGCAGTTTTGAATCCATTGTTTCTATTCAAATTATAGTTGAAACCAGAAACAAGATTATCTGTTTTAGCTGAAACCATGATAAAAACTTATAAACTACTGAAAACAAATACTTTGGGGAATGCAATGCATCAGATTAACAATTAGTCTTAATTTCCATAAGAAAGGTAACTGAATATTTATACAGAAGTATGCATAAAATTTGTTACACTCTTTTCATTCTCTCTTGTGATCATAAAGTTCAATTTTCATTTGTTTACTAAAAAGCAAGAGCTTTCTTACAATGTTAAAAGATTGCTTTTAGAGACACTGTGGGGGTTGGGGACAGTGCCTAAAGGGTACCTGATCCTAAACCAGGAATAGTGAGGACCAGTTGGAGGCCCAAACTTTGCCTGCAAGTTGACTACTTATGTCCCTAATCCTGACTTGTACCCCACATCTTTATAATAAAATAAAGTAAAATAAATAAAACTATTAAAAAATATTGACTTTGGAGTTCAAAGAAGTAATTACTAGGTAATCTTGAGACTGAATATTACAGAAAATGACATCTATTAAAATGTCTATTGCAGCCGGGTTCGGTGGCTCAGCCTGTAATCCCGCGCCTTGGGAGGCTGAGGTGAGTGGATTGCCTGAGCCTGCGGGTTCGAGACCCGCCTGGGCAACTTGGTGAGACCTCATCTCTACAATAAATCAAAAAAAAGTTAGCCAGGTGTGGTAGCGCGCGCCTGTAGTTCCAGCTACTTGGAAGGCTGAGGCGGAAGGATCGCCGGAGCCCAGCAGGTCGAGGCTGTGGTGGCTGGGAGCGGCCACTGCACTCCAGTCTGGGTAACAGAGTGAGACTCCAACTCAAAAAAAAAAAAAGTCTATTGTAACAGCATAGGCTTATCTATTAAAAGTATAAATAATTTCATACAAGTATAAACAATTTCCATGTTCAATTTCCAGAGGACACTTATTTAATGTCTCAAAATTTCCATTTACATAAATACATTCATTTATGTTGATAATCAATATAAAAAGACTAATCTCTTACATTTATGAAAGCTACTTTAACTTTAAAAGCATATACTCTTGCTCCAATATCAGTTTTAGGATTCTGTTTTACTAAACTACTTGCATATCTGCCAAAAGATAAATGTACACAAATATTTATGGCAAAACTATAGTAATAAATAAATGCTTATTATGTACAGTCATACTATTGAATATTAAGCAAGCATTTAAAAAAATAAACATTAAAAAAGTTTATAAAACCTTTAAGAAAGACTATGGCAAAAGTCACCAAAAACTTAAGCAGAGGGAAAATGCAATAATTTTATTACAAGTCTTAATGCATTATCTACTCAAAGCAAAAAAAATTTTTTTTTAGTAGGGGTCTCACTCTATCACCCAGGCTGCAGTGCAGTGATGCAATCATGACTCTGTTCAACCTCCATCTCCTGGGCTCAGGCAATCTTTCCACCTCATCCTCCCAAGTAGCTAGTGCTACAGCTGCATGCCACCACACCCAGCTACATTAAAAAAAATTTTTTTGTGTGTGCGTTGAGGTCTCACTGTTGCCTAGGCTGGTTTCAAACTCCTGGGTTTAAGGAATCCTCCTGCCTCAGACTCCCAAAATGTCAGGATTAAAGGCGTGAGCCACTGCATCCAGCCTCAAAGCAATTTTTGATAGTGACCAAACGGGCTTCAACACCAAAAATTTATAGCATACAACTTAATGGAGAAAGGAAAAACACAACCTTTTTATTGTATAAAAATCTTACTTTTTAAAAACATGTTTTCAAAGAAGTAAAAACTGATCACCAGAACCTGGATATTGTAATATTGTATACATTAAGGCCCCACTTTAAGAAAACACATTATATAGAAAGATAGCAGATATACTTTACATGAAAGGAGGAAACTGCAGGAAGAAATGGGTATAATATATACCTATTCTGTATAAACTTAACAACAGCAAAAAACTGGGAGTGTTCATCTGAACAGCAAGAGAGTCAGAGAAAAGAAGTCTACAGAGCTAAATGCCAAAATATCAACAATGGTCATAACTGAGGAATGAGACTAGAAGACTGAATTACTTTTCAATTTCTATGCATCTGTAATGTATTGTTCAAATTGATATTTACTTACTGCTCTTTATATTTAAAAAAATTTTTAATGTAAAAATTTGAACTTATATAACATATCAAAAGAGTAAAAATTATGATTACAGAAGGAGTCATTACTTCGCCAAGTGATTTACTAATGACTGTTATTTCCTCATACCTTTCTGAAGGAGAAAAATTTCTTATTTATCCAGTCATTAAATTAAGTGTGAGAATTTAAATGTATTATGAATATAGAAACAAAATAAGATTAGTTTAAGAAATGTGTTAGCTCAATGGATTTTTTTAAAATGTGAATGCTGATAACCAAATGGCAGAATTAAAAGAGAAGGAAATGGAAATAAGAAGCAATACTCTGAAGCCTAAATTACCCTCCACTTCATTGCTCATTAAAAGGAAAATTTCCATTTGCCTAAGATCTGTAGAAAGCATTCTGACACTCAATGGTTCCCTGCTATCATAACTCTTCTTGGAGGATTGAAAATGAGTACAAAATCTTTCTTGATCTGTTGTTAGATAAAGCATTTCACATTAAACATCAAGCTCTAGAATGGTCTTGAATGTTAGACTTATAAATCTGGTCTTATTCTGTGGGAAAAAACTCCAGAAGGGTACACTCAGAGACTTAGTAATGTGTTTTCAGATAACAAACTATAAATTGTACATAGGATACAACAAGGAGCACTGGGGAGGAGGAAGATCTGTTATGAGAGATTATAATAGTCTAGGCTAAAAAGTAACAGACCTCAATTAGCAGTGTTAACGTGAAAAATAGTGGGAAGGATACATTTGCATAAGATATTATATAGGAAGACGATAGTCTGAAAAATAGGAAAACAACGTCACAAAAACAAACAAAAAAAAAAGCAAACTGTTTCAAAAAGGAGAGGGTTATTTTTTATTTTTTATAGAGATGGGTTCTCAATACATTGCCCAAGTTTGATCTCAAACCCTTGTGCTGGAATTATAGGCATGAGCCACCACACCTGGCCTCAAGAAGGTTATTCTAAGAAGAAAGTGCCATAGAGATTGAGAGTAATATGAACTGAAAAGTAACAAAGATTAGGAGTAGATAATGATCTAATTGTGGAGACTCTAGCCTAAAACAAATATCCTTTTTCAAGAGAATATTTTCCCTTTAGGGAAAAAGGGAAGTGAAACACTGTAAGTACTCACTTCAGAGAGACCAATAAACCAGCCAGAAGACTAAGAATATATTTATTACATGCTTGTTTTATTCTGAATATAGGACAACTAAGTCAGTAGCAAATCCTGCATTTATATTACTCCTTAAGGTCCTCAAGAATAACATCAGGATTTCCTTAACCTAGGATTGATCACTTCTTGTTATCCCTTTATAAAAGAAGAAAACACTAATGATGCTCTTTAAACTCTATTTGCCTGTATTTGCTTTGTGCTTGTATTGGTCGGTGAAACATTATTTAAATGCATTCTTACTGAAAAACACATTTCATAGCACGAAAATTATAAGCTTTTCACTGCACAGACAGGTCAGGGAGCAAGGCTTAGGAAAGCTTCTTAGCCATACATATAAGATGCCTTTAAACAAAATCAAAAGAAAGAAAGTACTAGTAACAGTTTCTTCATCAGTAAAGTAAAAATAATATGTGGCTTACTGGGCAGTTATAAGGGGTTAAACTAGATCACTTTTGCAAAGCACCTAGGATAGCCCTTGGAACATGCACAGGTTCCAATGTAAGATGAACTTTTCTAAACTCTCTAAGACTAAACTTAGTCATGTAATTAGGGAACTAGATGAAATTCAGATGACTCATTTTATGTTTGTTTGCTTACATAGTCATCAATTACTAAGAGTATATGTCCTGTTCAAGCAATAGTATACGGTATAAAAATATTATAAGAATTAGTTTCTACCTTCAAAAGTAGACTTTTTTTCTTAGTTACTAAATTGATTATATAACACTACACTTGACTTGAACCAAAGCTAGGTAAAATTTGAAATATGTTAAATATGCAATAGAATAAAACTGTAAATAAAATAAATTGTTAAAAAAAGATAGAGTTTCCAACATTCATCAATCATTAAATCTTTACCTTGTTTTCTTGTTAAGAAATTGCTTCAGATCCTGAAGGATATTCCCTGTTTTTCGTCCAACTTCTAAATACAGGTTTGGTCGATCAAAACTAGTACAGGTAATCTGAGGATTTCTCAGATTTAAGCAACGTACAATGTCTTCTCGGATGGAAGAACTTGCAGTAGCAGTGAGTGCAACAACTGGAACCTGAATGAAGTCAGATTGCTTTTTAAAAAGGAAGAGAGCTCACTGATTCCCAACATTTCCAATTTGTTACAAAGAGACTGTTAAGACAATTATAGGAGGTACAGTCTCAAAAAATGCAACTTTAAGATTTTTTTTTTAAAAAAGAAAAAATTTCCTACTTGTTTCTGAGCCTTCTGAATATAATATTTACCTTTTAAAAATCAGAAATCATTCAATAAAACACTAAATCCATAAGGTTTCCAAATGTAATATCCTTTGTCTTATTAAATTAAACCAACTACTTCCCCATTTATTATTTTTAACATTTATTACATTTGAAATAGTACCGATATAAATGGGGTATATGACTTATTGTCATTAATCTATAATTCTCAAATCATAAGCACTTTAATTCACTGAAAATCTAACTATATAAAACAATGAGGTGGGTTTTTTGTCTCCTTGATTAAACACATTGGTTTATGGCTTTACAGACCTAGAAACAAAGCTCCCAATGACCCGGATAACCTCATTCCAGCTTTATTAGTTAATCAATAGCATACTATATATAAGAAATATGCATAAAATAAAACATCTATTATTAATTGATTCCTTGAGCAAACAAGTGATGTTCTATTTCCGGTCTAACAAAGACTTCTTGAGTGGATTAGTAGACAAAGCAGAAGGACAACAGGTATCAGGAAAAAACGCATTATGTCATCTTTCAGAAATTCATATACCTTCCATAAAACAGTATTTCACATTTTCATCCCAATTATGATAAGAAATTATACTCAACTATGCTATTATTTCATAATCAGTAAAAATGAACTAAGACTTAACATTGTTCCTAAATCATTAGCTAGTTTATCACAAAAATACAATTTTCTTAAAAATACTCTTTTTTGGCCCATTACAGATACAGGAAATAATATCTCATTAAAAGAGCTCTTCAGACACACTACATCTACCCACAAACTATCTTAAACAATGATCTTGCATTTAAGTGAAAATTTATGTGCAACTTGCCAATTTCCAAAGAAGCAAGTAGAGAGATTTACTCAAAATTAAAACAAGATACAATTAATGAAAAAGTACAAATTATTCTTTCAATCACTATTGCTTACTAAATTAAAAATCATTTCAAAACTCACATAAAGAAAACCAATTAAGTGTGGGAGTATTTTTTTCAAACAAAAAAAAATAAGTCAAAATCAATGTGACTAGTTAATTGATATCATTTTTTGCATTCGTATCCTTAAATTTTATGAAACCATTTTAAAAGGTAACTCAACCTCTCTGAATCTAGAGTTCCTGCCTAACAACTTAGAGAAGAACAAGTCAATTTATAAAGAGGTTAGTCTCTCTAATCAAGCCCTAACATGGTATATATCTATATTAATATGTGGGTACTAACAAATATAAGGTAAAGAATAAGAGAAGTTTCAAATTAGAGGGGAAAAAAAAGGTCTGAAAACATGTACATTATCACCCTCACAACATTTTTATCAATTTAAGTGTTTCAATCAAACAATTTATAAATGCACTAATAAAATACTTCTTTAACTGCATATGCAAATAAAAACAGTAGTTTTCAGGATACAACCATAAAAAAAGAGGTAGACTTTGCTTCTAAGCAATATACTGTATGCATGGATATGCAATACATCTATGAAATAGCATGAAATGTGACATTTTCAAGACAATAATAGAAAAATCAGGCAAAAGAATGGCACAGTAGTGAAAAAAGTCTGGCTTGGAATCAGACTGCTTGAGTTCAAATCCTGCCTTAGCCACTTACCAGATGTGAGATTTTGTGCTCTTTAACTCTCTAAACTCTGATTTCCTCTATAAAATGGCTACAATAACAGTACAAATCTCATAATGTTGTGAAGATAAAATGTAATAAAACATGTAAATAAAGTGCCAAATGTAATGTATGGCACTTGTAAGCACTCACAAAGTTTCAACTATTACTGATAAGAGTTATTGCAACAATTCAAAAAAATTCTATGCAAGAACTCCAGTGTCATGGGTACTACTCCCAGATTTGCCACTGACTTTGGCAAGGGCTCAGTTCTGTTCAATAAAAAATGAGATAGAGGGGGTTATATGATCTGTGAGACTCTTTCCACTTAAAAATTCCCATTTTGCTACTAAAAATTCCATACTTCAGTAACCTGCCAACAGTGAAAATCACTATAAATTCACTGTTTTGCCTCAACAATCTAGAAAGTTATAGTTAAGAATGTTGCTTCTATAACCAGAAAATAAATGAAGTAACAGAATATATTAAAGAAATAGACCAGAGGCAGTGGTTCGTGCCTATAATCCCAGCACTTTCGAAGGCTGAGGCAAGAGGATCACTTGAGGCCAGGAGTTCAAAACCAGCCTGGACAACATAGCAAGATCCTGTCCCTACAAAAAAATGTAAAAATGAGTTGGTTGTGCTGACCGACCTGTAGTCCCAGCTACTTGGGAGGCTGAGACAAAAGGGTCACTTGAGCCCAGGAGGTCAAGTCTGCAGTGAACTATGACTGCCCCACTGCACACAATCTGGGCAACAGAGCGAGAGCCTGTCTCTAAAAAAGTGAATAAATAAATAAAATTAAAGAAATGATGAACTTTCACTTCAGCAATGAATACAATCTTTTCTAGTAGAAGTGATACCTTATGACATTTTAAAACTATAAACTAGGGTGAAGCCTAAAAGTATCCCACAGGCAGGTTATGAGAAAGGTGACCATACATCCTCGTTTGCTGGCAGAGTCCCAGTTTATGCTTATAGTTACTTTACTTTTCAGAAGCAAACTGGTTTGGATGAGAAATTATACTGCCACCTAGTTGTTAACTCACAAAATTTATTATTTTAGTTGGCAAGTCTTAATTTCTTTGGTAACAGGCACCAGATTTTGTTAAAACAAACAACATAAACTAACATAAACTAATCTTATGACTAAAAATTTAGGAAGATCTTAGTCAAAATGTTAATGGTGTAGCATTCACAGATTTAGAAAACTGTAACTACTCCATCTGCTTCTAAATTTGGGTCATGTTTCTAATTCCAACTTTTGTACTCCATAACATCACACATACTTCATTCATTCATTCACTCATTGTAAACATTTATTATCTACTATGTGCCGATCTTTGTGATTGGTACTGGGGAGTAAGTAATGGATAAAAAAAAATGCCTCATGTATTTCATAGTTCTTCTTATTCGAAATTTATAAAATTTTAAGACTGATGTGGCGCTTTCTGCCTGCCTATTCCTTCACAAGACTCATTTTGTCTGATTCTTTCCAAATGGGAATCTTTATGCCAAATGGTTTAGTGGTTTCTCTGTTATTTTTGAACTCACTGAAATATAGTGCAAAACGTTCCAGGTTTACACCAGTTGTCCTAGTACAACTGGAATTAGAAGGAGAAAAAAAGTCCCAAGAATGCTCAGAAAAATGATAATCCAATAACCACCAGATGGCATTTCTCACCACTTAGCTAATAAAGAGAATTCTTGCAAACGCCAGGGGAAAAAGGTTTTCTCAGCCACTGCTTGACAAACACCTTGTACTGGAGTCTCAACAGAAGGAATGTGCTTTATTGATCATCATCCCAAGAAATGAAAATGATATAATGATGTCCACAGCCAGATATAATAAAAGATTTCATTCAAACCTAAAAAGTGTTTGAGAACTGCATAAAATATTTACAAGTCCTTTAACACAATCCTAGAATCAAAAGTTTAGGAAAGGATTACAGAAAGTAATCTTCCTAGTTTCCAAAAGCTTACTTTAAACCATTCTAAATTAATGAAAATCTGTCTTCCAAGTGCACTAAGCCTAGTGAGTTTCACCATAGAAATTATTTCTGTCTCTATTACATGTACGATTAACATTGCTCATCTTTCTATACTATTTATCCCACTCCATATACCATATATTGTTTGGTACTATTGCTTCTACTTTCATAGGTATGAAATTAAACTCCTTTATTGGACTATGAGCTACCTGAGAGCAGAAACTATGTCTTACACCTCTTTCAACTTATTTGCATTAGAAACCAGCACAATGTCCTACGGTGTAGCTATGTATTGCCCAACTCTACCATTCATTACCTGTGTTCTGAGAAGGTCAATTTACTGATTCTCAGCTTTCTCATCACAAGTCATTCATGCACCCAAATTTATTGAGCAACTACTATGAGTCAGGTACTGTTGCTCCAAATTTTGTAAACCAAACAATCAAAAACTCCTCCCCACAAAGAATATTCTAGTAAGGATGCTAAAAAAAAAAAAAATCGACATAGTATAATATAATAAGTTAAACAGTGACAGTGTTTTAAAAAGTAGTAAAGGTATATGAGGAATGTTAAATGCTGGGGAGGCAAGATTAATTTGATATTTCAAATACTGTGGCCCAGGAAGCCTAAATGAGAATGCAGTATTTCAGCACAGACCTAAGAGAAAGGAGGACGCTAAGTAAATTACCTTGGTGAAATGTATTCAAGGAAAGGAAATAGCAGGCACAAAGTCCTGATACTGAAGCATGCCTTGAATGTTTGAAGAATATCAGAGAGGGCAGCGTGGCTGGCACCCAGCGAACAAAGAGGCAAGTAGCAGACTGTGAGGTCAAAGAGAAAATGGAAGACCAGGTCACACAAGGCTCGGTAAGACACTGTAACAACTTTTGCCTTTATTCAGAGTGAAATGACTTGCTCCTAGAAGACATGATCTATCTGTCTTATTTTTTAAAGTATCCCCTAGCTACTGTGTTGAAACAGACTGAAGGAGAGAAAGAGTAAAAGCAGGAGGTTATTGCAAGAGCCTAGGTGAAAGGAGATGGTGGCTTCTGCTAGGGAAATGGCTGGGATATCAAGAGAAAAGTGATTCGGTTCTGCATATATTCTGAAGACCTCACAAGGTTTCCTTACTGTTTAAATGTATGGTAGAATGTGAGAAAAAGAAAAGAACTAAAGAAAATTCCAAAACTTTGGCCAATGGAGTTGCTATTCAAAAGATAAAGGAGTCTGAAGAAAGAGTAGATGGGCTGGGGAAACTATCCAAAAGACAGGGGTAGGTTAAATTTGAGATGCTTTTTAGACATCTAAGTAGAGAAATACTGAGTAGGCAATTATATTTATAAGTATATATGCATGTGGGTGTACACATTTACATATACATATATATTCTATAAAATGGCTAAGACAAAAAATGGCAATAACACCAAATGCTGACAAAAAGGTAGACAAACTGAATCATTCATACACTGTTGATATCAGCTCAAGATGGAGACATAAATTTGAGAGTTCTCAGTATATAGATGGTGTTTTAAAAGGTATGTTGGATGAGATGACCAAGGGAGTGAGTGCAGAGGAAAGAGAATAGGTCCAAGGACTAAGGTTTCAGGCCAACATTAAAAAGACAGGAGATCAGAAGAAACAGAGAACACTGAGAATAAAGAGACAGTAAGTAAAGAAGGAAACCAGGAGTGTATGCTGTCCTATGTGACTAGTGAAGAATTTGTTTCAAGGCAAAGTAATATGAAGATATTAATAGCTACCTGTTGAACCAAGATTAAAAAAAAAAAATCTGATCCAAGTCTAGTCACATAGTTGAAGCACAATTCACATTAGTTTAATTGTCCTTCAATATAAACTTACTAACTGGTATATTCAAGCTTTTTGTTAGTTTGTTTTATTTCAATATTTGTTCCAACCAAATCTTTATGAGAAAAGCTAACAAAAAGAAACTATTTTTAAGATGCCTCTCAATTTGCTATCTAAAAATAAGATTAATTAGCAATGAAACTGAACTAGTCAATCTACCAAAAAAATAAGAATTTCTAGCACAGTTTATTTATACAACTGCGAAATCTTGGACTCAGAAGGCACCAATGCCTCACCAGGAAAACTTAAACATAAGCCACCTTTATTTATCCATTCAAAATTAACACAGCAAGCTAGAGAACCCAGAAACAGACTTACACAAATATACTAAAATGATTTTCAACAAAGTGGTAAAAGTAAAACAGAGGAAAGATAGACTTTTCAAAAAATGGTCTGGAGCAACTGAACACTTACAGAGAAAACAATGAACCTTGACCTAAATTTCATGTCTTATACAAAATTTAACTCAGGATAGGTCACAGACCTAAGTGTAAAACATAAAATTCTAAAACTTTTAGGAAAGAACCATAGAAGAAAACCTTCAGGTTCTAGGGCTAAGTGAATAGCACAATGTATAAAAGAAAAACTTATAAAATGGATTTAATAAAAATTCATAATATTTACTCTGTGAAAGACATTGTAAAAAGGATGAAAAAAACTACAAAATGGGAAAAAAATATTTGTAAACTATATATCTGACCAAGGACTCATATCTGCAGTATATTTTTAAAACTTTTAAAACTCACCAAGAGCTGGGAGTGGTGGCTCACACCAGTAATTCCAGAACTTTGAGAGGCTGAGATGAGAGGATTACTTGAGCTCAGGAGTTCAAGACCAGCCTGGGCAACACAGTAAGACCTCATCTCTACAAAAAAATTTAAAATTTGCCAGGTGTGGTGGCATACGCCTATAGTCCCAGTTACTCAAGAGGCTGAGACGGAAGGATTGCTTGAATGCTGGAGGTTGAGGCTGCAATGAGCCATGATTATGCCATTGCACTCCAGCCTGAGCAACAGAATGAGACCTCAACTCAAAAAAATAATAAAGTAAAAAATAAAAACAAAATTCAACATGAAAAAATAAGCACTCCGATTAAATCAGGCATTTTACTAGAGGCAAATTAACATATGAAAATATGTTCAACATCATTAGTCACTACAGAAATGCAAATTTAAAGCATGCACTAGCACTTCACACCTACCAAAATAGCTAAAATAAAAAAATAGATGCAACAACAAATGGCAGCATGGATGAAAAGAAACTAGGTCACTCATGCATTACTGGAGGGAATGAAAGATGTTATAGCCGCTCTGGAAAACAGTTTGGCAATTTCATAAACAACTAAATATGCACTCCTGGGCATTTATCCCAGATAAATAAAAACTTACGTTTTTCAGATTGTTTAGCCATTCACCTATGGAAGAACATCTGAGATGTACATAAAGGTTTATAACACTTTATTCAAAATAGCCAAAACCAGCAAACAACCCAAATATTCTTCAATGGGTGAATGGCTAAACTGTGGTACACCTGTACCATGGAATACTATGCAGTAATAAAAAGAAGCAAACTTTTAAATACAGTCATGTGCCACTTAACAGCGTGTCAGCCAATGAAGAACCACATATAGAACAGTGATCCCTTAACATTTATAACTTAGCTGAAAAATTCCTATCACCTAGTGATGTTATAGCCGTCATAATGTCTTAGCACAAGTCATAATTCACGTTTGTGGTGATGCTGGTGTAAACAAGTCGATTGTGCTGCCATAATATATACATATGCAAAAGCATAGCGCATGCAGTTATGCACAGTACATAATAACTAATAATAATAAATGACTATGTTACTGGTTTATGTATTTACTATACTATACTATACTTTCATCATTACTTTTGAGCATACTCCTCCCACTTCTTTAAAAAAAAAAAACTTAACTGCAAAATAGCCTCACTCGGGTCCTTCAGGAGGTACTCAAGAAGAAGGCATTGTTACCATTTGAGGTGACAGCTCCATATGTGATACTGCCCCTGAAGATTTTCCAGCAGAACAAGATGTTGCGGTGGAAGACAGTGATATTGATGGTCCTGACCCTGTTGTAGGCCTAGGTGAATTGTGTGTGTTTGTGTCTTAGTTTTTAAAAAAAAGTTTAAAAAGTAAAAATTTAAAAAATTCTAAAATAGAGAAAGGCTTATAGAATAAGTTAATAAAGGAAAAAAATATTTTTGTGCAGCTGTACAATGTGCTTGTGCTTTAAGTGTTATTATAAGAGTCCAAAAATTTTTTTTTAAATTTAAGTTTACAAAGTAAAAAGTAACAGTAAGCTAAAACTAATTTATTATTGAAGAAAAAAAAGGCTTTTGTGTAAACTTAGGGTAACCTAAGTGGCCTTCACATTCACTCGCCACTCACTCACTGACTCACTTAGAGCAACTTTCACTCCTACTAGTTCTATTCATAGTAAGTGCCCTACACAGGTGTGCCACTTTTTATATTTTCATACCATATTTTTACTGTACCTTTTCAATGTTTAGATATGTTCAAATACACAAATATTCACCACTGTATTACAACTGCCAACAGTGCTTATTACAATAACATACTGTACAGGTTTCCAATCTAGGAGCAATACCATCTAGGTATTATAACCGAGGTGTGTAGTAGGCTATACCATCTAGGTTGGTGTAAGTATTGTATAAGTAACTACGATGTTCACACAGTAATAAAATGTCCTAACACATTTCTCAGAACATAAGGCCAGCATTAAGCAACACATAACTGTATGCAACAACTTGGATGGATCTAAAGAGAATTATGCTGAGTGAAAACAATTCCAAAAAGTTACAAACTGTACGATTCCATTTAATAATATTCTTGAAATAACAAACCTGTAGAGATGGAGACCAGATTAGTAGTTGCCAGGGGCTACGGTTGGGGTTGAGGATAAAAGAATAGTTCCAGGTAGCTTTGTGGTAATGGAACAGTTTGGTATTTGATTGCAGTGGTAGTTACAAATCTACACATGAAATTTAACTGTATAGAACAACACACACACACACACACACACACACACACACACACACACACACAAATGATTACTTATAAAACTAGAGAAATAAGAATAAACTCTGAATGTTGTACAAATGTCGTATTACTAGTTTTGTACAGTTAATGCAAGGTGCTACCATTTGGGAAACTGGGTAAAGGTACTCCTATTTTTTTTTTTTTATAACTTCCTGTTAATCTATAATTTTCACAATAAAAAATAAAATGGTGCTAGTATTGTGAGTTTTTAAGTCACTCATGCAAAATATGCATTAAGATACAATATTCATGTAAAAATTTGCTATTCTTTATTATTAGGATAAAATGTAACCCTTTACAACTCTAATGAGTTGTTTTAAAAAAGACGGAAAGAGAAGAATAAGTGACAGAGACTACATGTAGCCTATACTACCTGAAATATTTATCTGGTCCTTCCAGAAAAGGTTTGCCAGGTCTTATTTTATAGTATTCCTCAGTAAACTATATGCAAACCTTGGAATCTTAAAAAAAGACTTTCCCTTGCTTACATTATCCATTTACCCTTTCATAGAGAAGTCTTTAGCTTTTTGGCCAATCCCCAATTCTGAACACTCTCCTAGTAAGAAAGTCATTTCAAGACATGAGACTTGGCAAAGCTTACCAATGGGAGTACTGTCCTTAGGGAGCCCAACATCCTGAATGAATTTCTAAAATCATGCCCCCACTCAGAAATACAATGAGCCTCATCCACGGCAATAAGTGTGATTCCTAGAAAAAAAGAAAAGGATATAAATGGGAAAAAATAAAGTCCAAAAAGAAAAAAATAAGCTCATTTAAATGAATATTAATTTATTCTTTTAGAATATATAAATATTACCAAAAGGAAAATAAATAACCCAAATTAAAGTATTTGGTTCATATAGAAATATAAGCATAAACAATAGCACATAACACCAAAAAAATCATTAGTGGGAATGGGGAGAGAAGACGTACATGAATAAAAGGCATTAAGAATTAAAAAGGAAATATTTATATAGTGATCCAAACAATGATCCAAACAATATTTATATATTAATCCAAATAAACATATGTATTGAATTTCAGTTTTCACCATTATTCCTTCGGAAACGAATTGTTCACTATGACTCTGTCCCCTAAACAATCACTCATGAACCACCCACAACAATGCCTTAAAAACAAGAACCATCCTATTTCTCTTTTGTAGTATCGTCAACTTTATCTCATGAATTAACTACTAAGAGATATAAAGTGTCAGCACATTTTTTACTGAGATTAAGTGCATCACTATCCGTAACTAATCACATATCATATTGCAGAGTCCCACTGAAATGCCAGTATTAGAAGACAGAAGGACTTGCACATCCACTAATGCAAAAAGACATGGGAAGAACTAAATCTAATTGTGAACAAAGCAGGTAAGAAGAAATATAATTTGTTCTTTCTTCCCTAGCAGCCTCTCTACTCCACCCCTCCATCAGACACATACATTGAAATAGAATCAACAGTGTGTAGTAATGCATTTCAGAAAAGAATTTTTATTGTATAGCCCGTCCATTAAAATGTCTTCAGATATTTCAAAGTAGTAACAGTAGGGCTTTTGCCCTCAATTTCCAAATGAATACTTCAGACAAGAATAATTTTTTCCTTCAATGTGTATGATCAGTACTTGATACCTCTCTGAGTATTAATAATGATTAAGACTAGTAAGAGGATTAAAAACCTGTGCTCTGGAGTCAGACTACCTGGATGCAGAAGCTGGCTCGACCACCTACCATGTGTGTTACTTTAAGCAAGTTACTAAAGCTTTCCAAGTCTCAGTTTCCCTACAAGTAAACTGTGGATAATAGTACCTAACATTTTTTAATTACTCTAAAGATTAAATTAGATAACTAACATAAAATGTTAAGATAAAACCTGGCATACAAAATAACAATAAAGTACTACTATTATTATGGTTAATAAAAGCCCATTATGATCCAACCACCTTACTAGAATAAAAAAGCTAATAAAATACAATCAATGACTTTGAGTTCACAATTCTAAAAGAGGAGACCGACTTGCAAATAAACAATTACAATTCATTGAGGTTACAAGCTACAATAGTCCTAAGAGAGCATGCAGGAGAAAGAAATAAAAATAATCCTACTAGCCAGGTGCGGTGGCTCAAGCCTGTAATCCCAGTACTTTGTGAGGCCGAGGTGAGAGAATTGCCTAAGTCCCCGGGTTCAAGACCAGCCTGGGCACACTGGCAAGACCTCATCTCTACAATAAATAAAAAAATAAGCCAGGTGTGGTAGCGTGTGCCTGTAGTTCTGGCTACTTGGAAGGCTGAGGCGGAAGGATCACCGGAGCCCAGCAGGTCGAGACTGCGGTGGCTGTGAGCATGCTACTGCACTTCAGCCTGGCAATGGAGTGAAACTTCAACTCAAAAAAATAAAAATAAAAATAATAATCCTACTAAATATGAGCAAAGTTGATTAGTACCAAAATTCTCTGGCTACTATGGCTGGGAAAAATTCAGTATTATGACTATACTTATTTTGGTTTTAGAAACTAAATCATCCAGATTTTAAATTAAATATGCTAAAACAAAGACAACAGTCTCTTTTCTTTTAAATCTTTTCTTTATTTTAAAAGCCTTAGGTACAGGTTTCACAAATTAATTTTTAATAGAATACAACCTTGTCCCTTGCAATAAAGTTGACAAACTTTGCCAACATATAATTTAAATGTGCAAATTCAAGTGTCTTCTAAGGTTCTATACATATTTTATTCTGGCATATTTGTCATTCAAGTCTTATTTCCAAAGTAAAAAGACAATCACAAGTTTGGTTGGTAAGGAGTCTTCCTATAAAATGATGTTTGCTGTTTCTGTTAAAAATACAGACTACCTAAATAATTTAACATTTACCTAAAAATCGTAAACCTGATTAGCTAAATGTCAGACTACTGTACAAATAATATCCTGGGTATATTCATTTTTACAAGCATTTTACAATTTCCTGCAACAAAAGTCAAAGGAAAACACTCAAAAATTTTTTTTATTTAATTTATCCCTTTTTATTCAACACTGAGAGTCAACGAAAGAAAACATTTTCAACCATTTATAAGCAAAGTAAGCCAGGTGTGGTGGGTCATACCTGTAATCCTAGAAGTTTGGGAGGCTGAGACAGGCACACTGCTTGAGGCCAGGAGTCTGAGACCAGCAAGGGTAACATAGAAAGACCCTTAAATTTTTTTTTAAGTTATAAGAAAAGTATTCTGCTCTAATGATTGCAGTGTTCATAATTAATTCCTTAAAAAATAAAAACAGGAAGTTTTAACTTCTTGTCAAAAAAGTATTAAAGTATTTAACTTAAATGGCAAACTCATGGCTCATGACAGTCTCAGCCTCCTGGACCAAACAATCCTTCTGCCTCAGTCTCCCAGAGGGGCTGGGACTACAGACTCACACCAGGATGCCTGGCTAATTGTGTGATTTTTTTTTTTTTTTTTTTTTGTAGAGAATAGGTCTTGCTATGTTGCCCAGCTGGTCTCAAACTCCTAGGCTCAAGTAATCCTCCCGCCTCAGCCTCCCAAAGTGCTGAAATTACAAGCATGAGCCATCACACAAAGCCTACTTAAATATTTAAACTAATTATTCATTAAACTCCATCATCAAAACAAAATAAGTATTAAAATGGTACAAAACATACTAAGACCACTATGAACACAGATTCTAGATTTTGTAAAAAAAACCATAAAACTTATATGCACAGTTGTTATGCTTAATCCAAAGTGAAATATTCACAAGAACTTCATCCAACCTAATAGAAAGCATACCAAATTCATTGTCCATTAAAGGCAAAAACATAATATGTTAATATGGGGGTTTAAAAGCTGATAAATGCGGCCAGGCTTGGTGGTTAAGCCTATAATTCCGGCTGAGGCGAGTGGATTGCCTGAGCCCGTGGGTTCAAGATCAGCCCGGGCAACTTGGCAAGACCTCATCTCTACAATAAAAAATCAAAAATTAGCCAGGCATGGTAGCGCATGCCTGTAGTTTCAGCTACTTGAAAAGCTGAGGCAGAAGGATCACCGGAGCCCAGGTGGTTGACACTGGGGTGGCCATGAGTGTGCCACTGCACTCTAGCCTGGGAGACAGAGTGAGACTCCAACTCAAAAAAAAAAAAAAAAGCTAATGAATGCATGTTTTGGTTATATACCTAATCAAATGTTAATATCTGCCCTCATTTCTTGGTTAGTTTTAACACATACTAAAAAATTGTTTTCATTATATTATTAGAAAAAATTTTAATACTTTCCTATAGTTATATGCATGTAACCATTAAATAAGATGTTGCAATCTGAAAACTTAACCTATCTGTAATTATTCCATTACATAATTATACCAAAAAGATCATACAATCTTGGAAAGCTAAGTCTGGTTAGTTCAAATGAAGTACGGGCATTTACAAAGAAGCCATGATTGGAACTCTTGGATAGCTGAGCCTAACCCAGAAGAAAACAATACAATTTTCCCAAGTACAAAAAAAAGTGGCATCAGCTTTTGACTAATTCTATATTTATACTTCCTAGAAAATAGACTCTGACTTATCTAAGTTTTTATTTGTTGGTTATTTGTAATCAATCATATTTACTGCTGGCAACTAATCAAAGGTACTGTGGTTTCCCAACCTTGGCTACACATCAGAATCACCTGTGAAAAAATGCCCAGGCTAGATGCCACCCCAGGCCTGATAAGTCAGAATTTTCAAGATTGGAGGCTGGTTACCTACATTTTTCTGAAGTCTGAAAAGTGATTCTCACGAACAAGGGTAGGGAAACATTACATTGATTTAATTTAGATTCAGAATATTAAAAAAATAGGATTCAACAACATTTATTTAACAAAGCATTTAAGAGCTTATAAGAAGGCATTTGGCAGTAATGAGAAACTGTCAGGGGAGGAGGGGAGGGATTGGCAGTTGAGGGAAACTGCTAGGGGAGGGAGGGGCATACCTCATCAACAATGTTTGTATACTGAACCCTGAATTGTACTCCACATCTTCATAATTTAAAAAAATGAGCTGAACTAAGTGCTAAGCACTATACTAGAGAAATATGAATAAGAATGATATTTTTCCCTCAAAAAGTCTAGTCTAGTAGAAGAAAGCATATACATACATACACACACACACACACACACACACACACACACACACTTATAATACAGGAGCCTAATTTCTATGGCAAAAGGAATTATGGGATATTATGGGATAAGATAGCAGAAACAAGTTAAAAAATGAGATAATAGTTGAAATAAATTTTAGCAGAAGTGAAATCCAGTATCAATTCATAGGTTTAACTTTAAAGGATAACTCAATTCATAAGTATTCATGAAGATCTTACTATACTACTTACCAATACTGGCCTCAAGTTCCTGGAGTAGGCCCAAGTTACCTGAACAGAATTCTGGAGTCATGTATACAATCAAATATTTGCCTCTGTAAAAACAAAAAAAAGAAAGAAAAAAAAAACAGTAAAGGAAACATACTAAAAATAAAGAAAACAATATCTCAATGAATTACAACTTACAATAAAAATACCTAACAAATGTTTAAATAATACATTACACCACCTACAAAAACCTAAATGAATACTATGTATATGTGGACATACAGTATTCACATAAATTTATTCTTTGATTTACCTTCAATACACCCAATTCCAAGTGGCAATGCCTGTCCGGGAGTATTTAGTACTAAGACAACATGGAAGCCAGGTTCTGATTTCCTACAGTCTAGTCCCCAAACCAAAGTGCTTGAGTTAAATGATCAATCCTATGATAAATCTTTCATGGTGTTATCAGTTCACCCACATAACACCCGTCTTCTCTGAGAACTACACTCATTACTTCATGTTATCCACATATTCTGCTCTGTGGCCTAAAACTTATTGAGCCAGGAGAAGACACTATAACAAGGTCAAGTCAACTAATCTCTGTGATAGAATCTGGAGGTCTGATCAAGAAACAACCAGTCAGTCTCTATAAGCTACAGGACCTGCAACATGTTATTTTTTAAAAAAGAGGGGGAGGGGGAAATGGCAGAGCAGTCTTCTATTTTGTGACTAGAAAAGCAGATAATATTATCTCTTCAGAGAGAAAAATGAGGAAGATATTGCACAGCCTATGGATAAAAAGAAAGCCCTATTATATTTTCCATACCTAAATCCAGTCTCTTCCTAAGGACTGCCTAACTTTTTTTCAGTGGGATCCATGAGACATCCCTTTACCCTTAATATAAAAGTCAGTATTTGCTCAAACTAATTTGAGTTCATTTCTATTCTGAGCAAATAGAATCCTAATTAAAACAATGTTTGTAGTAAAGGCTAGTTATAGGGCAAAATATTTAGAGAGTCTATTCTCCATTTACCAAATGAAGACCTAAATCAAGTTAAATAAAATAAAATTTAATTTTCTATATGGAAACATTTTAAAAGTTAATCTATTCACTCAACAAATATTTGAGAGTCTATTGTATATTGGGCATTGAGCTTTAACTAGAGATTAATCAAGACCATAACAGATATGCCTTTACCCTCATGAAACTAACATGATACTCTAACATAGGAAACATTGTAAATAATAAGCTCTGATGTCAAACTGCCCAGTTCTACTTCATACAAGCTAAATTCTTTTTCTTAGGCAAATTACTTAAAATGTATTGGGCCAGGGATAGACACTCTGTCAAAGTTATGCCAATTAATCTCTGTCCTAACTTTAGTGTACCCAGTTTCTTCAGTGTAAAACAATGACAATAATTATCAAGATAGCTAATTCTTTAGATATCAGGGTTCAAGATAAACCCAATCAAAACTCCACAGGCATTTTGGTTGAAAAAGTGATGCTGAAGTGCTTATGGAAATACAAAGGATTTGTATATACAAGAATAATCAAAAACTACTTTAAAAGATGACAACAAGGCTATAGGACTTGTGCTATCTGATTTTAAGGCTTATTAAAAAGCTATAGTAATCAAGATACCATTCAAGACAGTCAACTAGATCCACAGAACCAAGAATAAAGAGCACAGCAATAAACCTACATCTATGTAGTCAATTTATTTTTGACAAAGGCACAAGGTCAATAAAAGGATAGTCTTTTCACCAAAAGGAGCTAGAACAATCAGGTATTTATACGTGAAAAATACAAAAACAAACTGTAATCAATACCTCACACAATATACAAAATTTACTAAAAATGAATCATAAATCTAGATGTAAAACTTAAAACGATAAAACTTAAAATCTTTGTGACGTTGAGTTATGCAAAAATTTCTGAGATTAAACACTAAAAGCAAAATCCATAAAAAGAACAAACTGACAAACTGGACTTTGTCAAAATGAAAAACTACTACTCTTCAAAAGAACTGTGAAAAGATGAAAAGTCATAAACTAGGAGAAAATGTTTTTAAAGCATATATCAAATCAAGGATTTGTTTTCAGAATATAGAAAGGGGTATCAAAACTCAATAAGAAAAGAAATGGACAAAAGATTTGAATAGACACTTCCTCAAAGAAAAATATAGTTGGCCAATAAGTATATGAAAAGACACTCAACATTCTTAGTGTAAGGTAAACAAAACCAGACCAGGCGAAACAGCAACTAAGGAGCGAAGAAAAATTTATTAGCACACCCAGGCGAGGTTCACCGGTCCATGTAGCTGTGGGCCGGAGAAGTCGCACGCAGCAAGATGGGTGACGGGTTTATAAAGGGCACACTGAGAAAGCTGTGAGGGGGCCAGGGAGAGCAATCACTGGTTGGGACAGCTGTCACGTCTGCTGGCGATTGGCTGAACGGGGTTGCTAGAGTCACTGTAACAGGTACTGGTTGGCTTTCTGGCTGCAGTCTTAGCTCCAGTCACTCATTTTTGCTGGCTCACTCTCGCCTATTGTTCTCCTGGTCCAGGTTGGCGCCATCTTGTTTTGAGGCCCGCCCTGCCCTCCAGTACCTCCAGCCTTACACTTAGTTATTAGGAAAAAGCAAATTAAAAACTCAATTAGATCCTATTAGAATGGCCAAAATTAAAAATTGGCCATACTAAGTGATGACAGGGATGGAGAGGAACTGGATCTCTCATTCACTGCCAATGGGAATACACAATGGTACATCACTGTCAAAAAGCTTGACGTTTTTTAAAAAGTCAAACAAAGAATTATCACATGACCCAGCAATCCCACTTCTAGGCATACACAAGAGCACTGAAAATATATGTTCATAACAAAACTTGTATAAAAATGTTAATAAAGACAAAATTATTAACAGCAAAAAAAGTGAAAACAACCCAAATGTCCATCACTGATGACTAGAAAACAAAATATGGTATGTCTATACAATAGAATATTATTCAGTCATAAAAAGAAATAAAGTACTGATAACCTTATGCTATGCAGAAGCCAGACACAAAAGACCATACACTATAAGAGTTCATTTATAGAAACATCCAGAAAATGCAAATCAGAAAGTAGACTAGTGGTTGGAAATGGGGCAGAAAAAAAGAAAATAGGGAGTGAATGCTTAATGGGCATGGGAGTTCCTTTGGGAGTGATGAAATGTTCTGGATTTAGTGATGATGGTTATACAATATTATTAACACAGTAAAAGCCACCATTCTGTACATTTTACCTCAACTAGAAAAAAATAAGTTGAACATATATCCACCACATAATCCAATCATTCCACTCCTTGGTATATACCAATGAAACAAAAACATATGTCCATAAAAAGTCTTATATACAAATATTCATAGCAGTTTTATTTGTAATAATCCCAAACTGGAAATAATCTAAATGTCTATCAGGTAAACTGATAAACAACTTGCAGTATGTCCATATAATGTGTTCTACTCAACAATAAAAGGAATGAACTATTAATAAATGTAATAACATCTCAAAATAACTACACTGCATTCTTTTAAATCAAACCAAAAAAAAGCACATAATATATAATTGACTCCATTTATATACAGTTTTAGAAAATGCAAACTAATCTACAGTGATAGAAAACAGATTAGCAGTTACTTGGTGATTAAGGTGACAAAAAAAGTAAGCTTTTTTGGGGTAATGAATATGTTCATTATCTAGACTGTGACAGTGGTTTTGTGGGTGCAAACATATGTCAAAATTTATCAAATTATACATTTTCAGTATGTAAAATTTATTATAAACTACACCTCAATAAAGATGTTTAGACCTGTCTTGTACCCCACACCTTTACAATAAAAGAAAAAGAAAAAAAAAGTGTTTAGAAAAAAAGAAAATATATGTTCGCAAAGAGACTTTTGTAGCAGATTTATTAATAAAAGCCCTAAACTAGAAATAGTATAGGTGTCTATCAATAAGAAAAATGTAAAAACAAACTGTGCCATATTTAGTGAAATACCACACAGATTAAAAAAAACTACTGATACATGCAACAACTTGGAGGAATCTATAAAGCCATTACACTGAATAAAAGAAGTCTTACACAAAAGAGTTCATATTGTGATTCCATGTATACATAATTTTGGAACATACAATACTAAACTATGGTGGAAAAAAATAGAGCAGTGAGTGGTTTGCCTACAATAAAAGATGGAAGGATAGACTGGGAAAGAACATAAAGAAAAACTCTAGAATGTAATATACCATATCTTGTTAGAGATTTGGTTTACACATTTGTATGCATTTATCAAAACTCAGTAAATACATGTGTGTCTTGTGTATGTAAATTAATACATATGCACAAGGAGTGACTGACTGCTTAATGGATATGGGAGTTCTTTTGGAAGTGATGAAAATGTTCTAAAATTAGACCACGCATATATACACACACATACACACACACACACACACATATACACATGTATTAATATACACATACATACATTTTTGTTTGCATCTAAGACAATTAATTCTTAGGGATTATGCTATGATAGAAGCAGTAGGGCAAAAGACCTAGAATCCAGTCTCTGATCAGCCTCTCAATGAATTCATTGAGTGACTTTGGACAAGTTACTTATCTCTGGGTCTCAGTTTTCTCACCTGTAAAATGAGACAAATCTCTAAATTCTCTTCTAAAACCAAAATTTTATAATTCCTTGACTTCAATGCTAATCTTATAACTCAAGAACTGAGAATAAGCCGGGTTCGGTGGCTCAGCCTGTAATCCCGCGCCTTTGGGAGGCTGAGGTGAGTGGATTGCCTGAGCCCGCGGGTTCGAGACCTGTCTGGGCAACTTGGTGAGACCTCATCTCTACAATGGAACAAAAAACCAGCTGGACGTGGTAGCGCGTACCTATATTTCCAGCTACTTGGAAGGCTGAGGCGGAAGGATCGCCAGAGCCCAGCAGGTCAAGGCTGTGCTGGCTGGGAGTGGCCACTGCACTCCAGTCTGGGCGATAGAGTGAGACTCCAACTCAAAAAAAAAAAAAGAACTGAGAATAATAGATGTAAATTTGAAACATTTTAAAATGAATATTTCTGCAAATGTGCTATTAAAAGAAAGTTTATTTTCAAATCATGGACATTTTTTTAATGCATTAAATACAATTTTTTGTGTGCAAAATTCTCTTATATACCATAAACACCAGACCACATTATCAGAAATCATATAAATTACTCACAATCTAATATCATCTAGAATATTTTTTGGCTGTGCTGATCCAAGGAAACAAGCTGGGATGTTGGACATTCTGTAAGAAGAAAAACAAATACTCTGTAGGCATGTAAACAATACAAATATCAATTTCACTCTTAAGTAAGAGGGAATAAAGAAATATAATAATACATATTCCTCTTTGCAATATTATATTTTTTGTAACTCATTAACTCGATAAACAACTTCCTTCAAGGGGCATATCAGAAAGCAGGTTTTTAAGGGGGGGGTCTCTGAAAAAGAATGCAAGCTTGGGGCAGCAGAAGCAGAAGAGGAATATGAAGAGAGGTTGGTAATAAGTATAAACAAGTCAGATAGAAGGAATAAGCTCTAGTGTTTGATAGCGCGATAGGGCAACCACAGTTAACAACTACATATTGTATATTTCAAAATTACTAGAAGATGTGAAATGTTCCCAACACAAAGAAATGACAAATGTTTGAGGTAACAGACATCCTAAATACCCTGATTTGATCATTATGTATATCACAGTTACCCCATAAATATGTACAAATAGTGTGCATTAATTTTTTTTAAAGACTGCAAGCTCAATTTGAATGAGATGGAAAGTTTTCCATAGATTAAAAATGTGCTTCCATGTACTATATATAACTTCATGCAAGGGTAATCAAAAGAGAAAAGAATCTTGAAATATTCCATGTGAACTGGCATAAAGTGATAATATTTTTGTAAAAATTTTATTACTTATACTTGGCAGCCTTCAATTACAGAGTGCTCAAGATAAACTTTTTACGAAAGTATTATTTATTACTAGTAAAGATAAAGCAATACTTGTAGAAGAGTGGTATCGTGAACTAGATTTTAACAAACATGATAGATTAGATGTTTCATTAACAGAAGAAAAAAAGAGGGTGATGATGTGGCAATGATAACATGACTTACTTAAGCTGGAGCACTTGGTCTTCCATCAAGGAAATAAGAGGAGAGATGACAAGGCCAATCTTGCCTACATAAACAGGGGGATACTGGAAGCACAAACTCTTTCCATATCCTTGAAATAAAAACAATACATTTGTAGAAATAAAATAAACCCTTGATACTTTAATTTCTTCTCACAATGTACTTGCATGGCCGAATGGTCAATACTAATATGCTATCTTCTTAAAAGTTAATTCATGCATGAATGTAAACATCAATTCTCTGACACTCTCTTGTATATTTTACACCATTTGTATTTTTATTTGTATTTTGAGAGTTTAATGAAAGATTAAGCATTTCAAACTCTTTAAGTTTTATCTGTTAAAGGATTAGGTTATTTGCTTAATACAACTTACCAGTTGCCATGACAACAACATTATCTCTTCTTTCTTCCAATACTGAATGAATCACTTTCCACTGAACCCTTGAAGGTAAAAAAGCAAAAACCTATTTTATTGTATTAATAAAAAACCCAAGGTACCTGTTAAAATCCATTTATTTTTTTCACTTCCTCTAATATAATTATTTTACATGTTTGAGCTACATATATACAATTGCACAAACCAGAACTTTAAACAGAGAACTCTATTTGATCATCCTCTCATTCAAGCTACCTAACAATTAGAAGCTCCCATTTGGCAAAATATGTATTAAATTTCCTTACATATATCTAAAGTATAAAATAAATTCCAGGCTTCATACTAGATATCCAAAAGAATCAAAGTTTTAAAATTAAGAAGAAAAATTCTTCAGGTACAAGGATTCACAGAGAAGGGAAATGAGGAACCTACCTGAGGTGATAGTAATAATGTTCTATGTCATTATAAGAATTTAGGTTATATGGATGCATACATGTACACTTAAGATTTGCAAATGCACATGTAAGGGTTGGCATTTCCTCATATGGATATTCTACAGCAAAAGAAAAAACTGTAAATATGTATTTCACTCTAGTTAATGATTTATACGCTGAAGTATTTAGGGGGAAGTGTAATGACATCCTCAACTGACCATGACATGCATATTAAAACTTCAGCAGATTGCTCTGGCACAGTGTCTCACGTCTATAATCGCAGCACGTTGGGAAGCCAAGGTGAGAGGATTGCTGGAGCCTACAAGTTTAAGACCAGCCTGGGCAACTTGGCAAGACCTCATCTCTACAATGAAACAAAATAAAAAATAAAAAAATAGACAGGCGTGGCAGCTTGCGCCTGTAGTTATAGCTACTTGGAAGACTGAGACAGAAGGATTGCCTGAGCCCAGCAGGTCGAGGCTGCAGTGGCCGTGAGTGTGCCACTGCACTCTACCCTGGGCAACTGAGGAAGAGACTCCAACTCAAAAAAAAAAAAAAACACTTCAGCAGATGAATAGAGAGATGGATAGACGGATATGTGATAAAGCAAGTACAGTAATATGTTAATAATAGAATCTAGGTGGTAGGTATACAGGCATTCACACAAGAAATTTTTTTTTCAACTTTACTATATCTTAGAAAATTTTCTTAATGCAATGTCAAGGGAAACAATTGGAGAAGTGATCTTCTTGTTGTGCTAATAATGACCGATCTTATCTAAGTGTTGGTTATAAAGGGTGCTCAGTTTATGAAAATTCATTGATCTGCATAGGACATACATAAATTTTAAACATTTAAAACCAAAAGAGAAAAAGAAATACTTCAGAGGTTATATATTAAATTCTCAGAATACAAAAAATCCAACCTAGATTTTTACATGCTTATTAGTTTTATTCAAATGTACTTGTTCCTCATCTCATTTTTATTCTTATAAAGGTGCTTCTTATAAGTTAACACATTTTGAGCATGTTAAAATAGATAAGATTATCATCGTTCTTCAAACTGTTGTATTATGGATTCTATTACATTAGCATGCTTTAGACAATATGATGCACAAAATAGGCACACAGATAGATATCTAATGAAAAACAAGTTAAGTATTAAATTAGAATTTATTTGTAACTGTCTTTAAACTAGTTTCTACACAGAACTGCACAGTTAAAATATTTTTCCTTGCTTATAAAAACAATTTATCAGAATTCTACAAAACATACAAGGAGAAGCTAATACCAATCCTACTGAAAGTATTCCAGGCAATCGAGAAAGAGAACTCTCACCAGATCATTTATGAAACTAACATCACACTGATACCCAAACCGGGTAGAGATCCAACTAAAAAAGAGAACTGCAGGCCAATATCCCTGATGAACAAAAATGCAAAAATTCTCAACAAGATTCTAGCAAATCAGATTCAACAACACATCTCAAAAATCACCCACCATGACAAAGTAGGAGTCATGCCCTGAACGCAGAGCTGGTTCAACATCCCCAAGACCATAAATGTAATTCAATACATCAACAGATGTAAAAACAAGAACTTCATGATTATATCATTAAATGTGGAAAAAAGCTTTTGATAAAATCCAGCAACCCTTCTTCGTGATAAAAACCCTTGAACACCTAGGCCTAGAGGGAACATACCTCAAAATAGTAAGTGCCATCTACGATAAACCCACAGCCAACATACTGCTAAACAGACAGAAATTGGAGGCATTTCCCCTGAAAACCTGAACAAGATAAGGATGCCCACTCTCACCCCTCCTATTCAGCATCGTGTTGGAAGTCCTAGTTAGAGCAATCAGACAAAAGAAATCAGGGATATCCAAACAGGAAAATAAGAAGTCAAGTTATCTCTTTTTGCTGATGAGATGATCCTATACCTCAAAAATCCAAGAGACTCTGTCAAAAACCTCCTTGTGCTGATAAAGTACTTTGGCAAAGTCTCAGGGTACAAAAGACAGTCACATTCTCATACAGCAACAACAAACAGGCAGAGAACCCAATGAAAAGCACAATCCTATTCACAATAGCCACCAAAAAAATGAAATACTTTGACATTTTCCTAACCAGAGACGTGAAAGATCTTTATAACAAACACTACAAAACACTGCTCAAAGAAGTCAAAGATGACACAAACAAACAGGAAAATATTCCATGCTCATGGATTGGAAGAATTAACATTGTTAATATGGATTCAATGCAATTAATTAAATTACAAACATCATTCTTCTCAGACCTGGAAATAACAATACAGAAATTCATATGGAAGCACGAACGACCATGAATAGCCAAAACAATCCTTAGCAAAAGAAACAAAGCAAGAAGTATCACACTTCCAGACTTTAAACTTTATTATAAGGCTACAATAATCAAACAACCTGGTTATTGGTACAAGAACAGGCATACAGACCAATGGAACAGAATGGAGATTCTGGAAGCAAAACCTCAATTTCTCAACCAACTCATCTTCGACAAAGCCTCCAATAACAACCACTGGGGAGAGGAGAACCTATTCAGTAAATGGTGCTGGGAAAACTGGCTGATCATGTACAGAAGAAGCAGGACCCCTACCTATCACCATACACAAAAATCAACGCCAAATGGATCAAAGACCTAGACATAAAACCTCAAACATTAAGAATCATAGAAAACACAGGAGACACTCTTATGTTAATCAGAATAGGCAACCAATTCCTGATCAAAACCCCAAAAGCACATTCCATAAGAGAGAAGACTGACAAGTGGGACCTGATCAAACTGTAAAGCTTCTGCAAAGCAAAAGAAACCATCAAGAGAGTGGGGAGACAGCCCACAGAATGAGAAAAAATACTTGCCAAATGCATATCTGAAAAAAGTCTAGCATCCAGGATCTACAAGGAACTCAAATGTTCCAAAAAGAAAAAGACTAAACAGCCCCATTAAAAAGTGGGCAAGGCCCTGGCCTGTAATCCCAGCAATTTGGGAGGGAGAGGTGAGAGGGCTGACTGAGCCCACGGGGTCGAGACCAGCCTGGGCAACTTGGTGAGACCTCATCTCTACAATAAATCAAAAATTAGCCAGGCGTGATAGCACATGCCTGTAGTTCCAGCCACTTGGAAGAATGAGACGGAAGGATCCCCTGAGCCCAGCAGACTGACACTGGGTGGCCCTGAGTGTGCCACTGCACTCCAGCCTGGGTGACGGAGTGAGACGCCAACTCAAAAAAAAAAAAAGTGGGCAAAATACATGAATAGACACTTCTCAAAAAAAGACATACGAAGAGCCAACAGACATGAAAAAATGCTCAGCCTCACTAATCATCAGAGAAATGCAAATCAAAACCACAAAGAGATACCACCTAACTCCAGTAATAATGGCCATCATTAATAAAACAAAAACAACAGATGCTGCCAAGGATGCGGAGAAAAGGGAATGCTTCTACACTGTTGGTGGGAATGCAAACTAGTGCAACCTCTACGGAAAACAGTGTGGCAATTCTTTTTTTTTGAGTTGCAGTCTCACTCTGTCACCCAGACTGGAGTGCAGTGGCCACTTCCGGCCACCGCAGCCTCGCCCTACTGGGCTCCGGCGATCCTTCCGCCTCAGCCTTCCAAGTAGCTGGAACTACAGGCACGCACTACCACACCCAGCTAATTTTTTGATTTATTGTAGAGATGAGGTCTCACCAAGTTACCCAGGCGGGTCTCGAACCCACGGGCTCAGACAATCCACTCACCTCAGCCTCCCAAGGCGCGGGATTACAGGCTGACCACCGAGCCCAGCAAGTGTGGCAATTCTTAAAAGAACTAGACATTGATTTTCCATACAACCCAGCAATTCCCCTTCTGGGAATATACCCAGAGGAACGTAAATCACTGTACAAAAGATACCTGCAGACACATGTTTATTGCAGCACTAGTCACAATAGCAAAAACATGGAACCAACTATGTTACCCACTGAAACTGAACTGGATAAAAAAAATGTGGTACATATACAGGATGGAATATTACAGCCATAAAGAAGAACAAAAATCATTGACTTTTGCAGCAACTAGGATGGATTTAGAGTCTATCATACTCAGTGATCTATCACAGAAACAAAGAACTGAGTACCATATATTCTTACTCATAAGCAGACCCTGAGCATTTATCATAATACAATAAGAAAGGGATTAGCAGTAGCAGGACATCGCCAGGGGAGGAGGGGAGGGGCACATAACATCAATAAGGGTATCTGATCTTAAACTGGGCAAAGTCAGGACCAAAGGGAGGCCCAAACTTTACCTGTACAATGACCATTGCTTACCTAATTCTGAATTGTACCCTACATCTTTAAAGTAAACAAAATTTTAAAAAACAATTTGCAAAACTGAATTTTTAGAAAATACAATGTAGCATGTAAAACTATAGTGAAGTTGTGCTGCTGCTAAGTAGATGAGTCATTTGCTTTTGTTTTTTTTTTTTTTGCCTTTGTAAAGAAAATACTAAATATGTGATTTAATTAAATGAGATTATACTCACGGTTTAAAACTGGAATGGCCAAAGTAGGTCTTGAGGCATGTAACTTGCTTTGCACTGGGTTCAGGCAACAAACAGTCTTAAAATAAAATAAAATGGATATTTATGTTAAAATAGAAATACACTAGATTAGAGAGAGAAAAAAGTTTATTTCATTGGCTTCTTTGAAAGAATATAGTGATCGATATCATAGGCTAGTGTTTTCTGTCTTTTAATCTCAACACAATTCGGTCCTCTGGGTATTAGTTATGACTCCAAGCAAATACTTTGATCACTACTAAGTATCAGAATTTGGTTGTGATTTGCACTTTACCAGTGCTGTAAAAAACTGATGTTTTAGAATCAGCTATACTTCTAAAATCTAACATTTAAAACAAAACATGGCAAGAAATATGTCCATCCAAATTGCATGCATATAACATAACCAACTTTCCATTAATGGCAATCAGAAACTACATTAGTGTTACCAAAAAAAGTCCACAGATAAAATCTTCATTTCCATTACCTAAAACTAAATCTAGTACTTACCCTTATCATCTTCTTCTTCCTCTTCAATAGCATCATTTTCATCTTCATCGTCTTCTTCAGTAGGAAGATCCAGATTTCTTTCCATTTCTAATGCTTTAGAATGAGTTGAATCCACCGTGGCACTATTTAGGTTTTCTAAAGACTGAAAGTTTAAAAGAAATTTTAAAAGCCAAACCACTGACAGTGTCATATCTTTTTCACCAAACACAAAAGGAGTATTATTAACAGAAGCTACAATTTTGCTCAAAACTGGCAGATGTGCCAGCAATACGACAAAAGAACATGTGTGCTCCAGTTTAAATATGTGCTCATGAATGGTTTCTAAGGCACAGGGCCAAACCTTCCAGCATAAACAAGGTTCATTAATGGCATATAATGAACTGCCCCCAGGGAAAGCTATTATAAATTTTAAATTTGAATAATTTAAAATATTTTTTCTGTATTGTACTTCAATGTTTTCAGTCCCCAAGTGGCAAATGTGGATTTTAATGTTATTTTTGTAATGAGTTTCTCTATATCATGTGTCAGTGACATTCTTTGTGAATAAGGATAGGCGTATACTATAAGCAAACAATAAATGTGTTTTGGAATTGTCAAAACAAAAAAATGAAGATTGAAATAATTTCAGAAAAGGAATATTACAAATATGAAATGAAGTTATTTGTTTTTATTTTGGCATGACAGTATCTGATTTTCTCTCCCAAATAAAGATTATCTAGTTCAGGAATATTAGGATATTTCAAAATTGGTTCATCTATAAAATTTCCTACTAAGATGTGACAGAAAGTCTTTATTAAATCACAGTTTTCATTTTCTCTTTTTATTAAACTTTTCATTTAATATCTTGACTTTGGAGTTGTTTTTTTGTTTTAAGTTTAATTCATTTCAAGCCTGAAAGGAAAAAAGTGATTCTGTTTCTGATTTTTGTTTCAAGTCCATAAACGTGCTTTGAAAGCATTTTTAAAACAGGATTCTCTAATATAGGTGCATACCACATGCTGTCACACATAAGTGTGCGCTGATCACTGGTCACACAAGCACAGGCAGATACTGGACACTGCTAGGTGAGGGAGGAAGAGACAAGGGAAGGGTGGAAGAGTGACAACACAATGGGTACCTGGTCCACTATCATAGGGAAAAGAGGGCCAACATCACCCTCATGAAACCTACTTATATAATAAATCCCCACTTCTACCCCACAACTCTAAAATAAAAAACAAATTTTTAAAAGAGATTCAATATACACGGGAGTGCCAAAAAATGCATACAAATTTTAAGTATGATGTGCGCTCAAAAGACGGCATTAATCAAATGAATTCTAGCATCACTATGCAGACAGGACAAAGAAAATCGCGGAAGCACGGCTGAGCGAACATCATATTACACACTGTTACTGCAATTTAATTCAACTTTGAAAAGTAACACATAGATAACATCTCTTAAAATGTGTATAATTTTTTTGTCATCCTCCTGTATATGTTGCAAATAACTGTGTACTACTTGAAAAGTACTTCTAAGAGAAACGGTTAATTAATAAAGAAATATGGTTTAGTATTTATGTTCTCCTACTACTGTTAGCTAATATTTATTAACCATTTACTAAACGTCAAGTTCTGTACAAAGCTCTTCACAAGCAATACCGTAAAAATTATAATTGTTAGCCGGGCTCGGTGGCTCAGCCTGTAATCCCGCGCCTTTGGGAGGCTGAGATGAGTGGATTGCCTGGGCCCGCGGGTTCGAGACCCGCCTGGGCAGGCGAGACCTCATCTCTACAATAAATCAAAAAATCAGCCGGGCATGGTAGCGCATGCCTGCAATTCCGCCTACTCGGAAGGCTGAGACAGAGGGATTGCCGGAGCCCAGGAGGCGAGGCTGCGGTGGCCGGAAGCGGCCACTGCACTCCAGTCTGGGGGACCGAGTGAGACTCCAACTCAAAAAAAAAAAAAAAAAAGAATTATAATTGTTAACTGAGTACCAAAGACAATAAGAAACTTGTCTGAAGTCACACAGCTAATAACTGGAGAAGGTGGGATTCAAACCCACATCTGAATTCTGAATCACTTCCCACTACTCAGCATCAAAACTAAAGAATAAAGAAATTAATCTCATTTTATAAAAAAAAAAAAATCATATCAAGTGAAAGATGAGGAATAAAAAGCATGCATAATGGTCAACTTGTGTTTTTTTCTTTATTTTCCACTTAATTTTGCTAAATTGGCTTTTCTTTCTTCTGTTGTGAACATCTTTGGGTTCACAACATCTGACAAAGAAACTTGAGACTGAGTGAGGAAGCAGAAAATCTGTAAGTTATAAAGTACTATTTTCAACTTTGATGATAAAATAGAGTAAAACTGAACCATTTAGCCAGGCTTGGTGGCTCAGCCTGTAATCCTGAGCCTTTGGGAGGCTGAGGTGAGTGGACTGCCTGAGCCCGCGGGTTTGAGACCCGCCTGGGCAGCAAGACCTCATCTCTACAATAAATCAAAAAATCAGCCCGGCGTGGTAGCACATGCCTGTAATTCCGGCTACTTGGAAGGCTGAGGCGGAAGGATCATCGGAGCCCAGCAGGTCGAGGCTGCAGTGGCCGGGAGGGGCCAATGCACTCCAGTCTGGGTGACAGAGTGAGACTCCCAACTCAAAAAAAATTTTAAAAATTTAAAAAATTAAAACTGAACCATTTAAACCATTAGAAAATTATACATCACAAATATAAAATATCCATAATAAATAATACCAAAGAAAATAAAAAAGATTCTTGACTGTATAAAAACTTCCAAATAAAAGGAGACACACATGGGTGGGAAGAAAGGAAACCAATTCAGTACTGGAGAGTCCAATCATTACCCATATTCCAGGAAAAGATGAAAAAAAATTGACTTAAGAAGAAACAGAAAACATATTAATAATTAGTATACTACTTTCAAAACATTATTCATATACTATATAAGGATATAAAGACATAGAATTGAAAAACATAAAATCTAATATTACATAATTAGTATCAATTTCATTGTGGTGGGACATGGTTTATAATTAGGTCATCTTTTACTTAATCGAATGTCCTTTGGAAAGAACATGAAATAACTTTTCTATAATTTTAAACATACCTTAAGCATTTCCATTTCTAAATCTTCATCACTCTCAATTACATAAGATGTATCACTTTCATTATTCTTGGGAGATAAATGCTTTAAAGAAAGTATTTCAAATATTAATTTCCAGTATAATCGACTTCATACCCTCTTTTCTGCAAATTAAAGGTCCTGTATACTAAATATCTACAGACAACTTCCTCTTCTGTAATAGGTAAATGTATAATACATATTTATATGTTTATATGATAGGTAATTAGAAAAGAGAGAGAAAAGAAGAAAGGAACAAAGAAACAAAGAACAGAAAAAGAAAGATATATAGTTAGAAAAATAGACAAGTTGGATGAACAAATGAAATGAAATCCCTACTCTAAACAAGAGTACAAAGTGGAGAGTTCAATTCTGGTTAAACAGTGTCAAACTGTGTGCCTCGAACTTTTTGAATACAAGAATATCTTCACAATGTGGAAAAATTCAGTACAAAGCCAAGAACAGTAGTTGTTCTTTTCTATCCACTGATTTTTTTTAACTACAAAAAACTACTACGACTCTAACATCTTCAAATAAATCAGTATTTTACAAGTAGTACCTACATATCTTTGACAAAGTATCAAAAATGTTATTTATTCAGCATATTGCCAATGTGTGGATATGAAGTACCTTTATAATATTTTGGCAATCTTCAGGATGCAAGTATCCAACATGATGGGAACTTACACAAAAGAAACACACAAAAGTAATTTTTTAAAAATGTCCCCCCAAAATGCCTAACGTTTAAATAGAAAATAGTAAAGGAAATATAGCCCAAACTAAATGGCAAAATTTAAGTCAAAAAAGGAAAAGATTTAAAATAAGCTTTCTGGCTGGGCAAGTGACTCACGCCTGTAATCCCAGAACTTTGGGAGGTTGAGAAGGCAGGATTGCTTAAGCCCAGGAATTCGAGACCAGCCTGGGCAACATAGCAAGACCTCATCTCTACAAAAGTAAAGAATTTAGCCGGACATGGTGGCATGTATTTGTGGTCCCAGCTACTTGGGAGGCTGAGGCAGAAGAATCACCTGAGCCCAGGAAGTTGAGGGTGCAGTGAGCCATCATCAAGTCACTGCACTCCAGCCTGGGCTACAGGGTGAGATTCCAACTCAAAAAGTAAATAAATAAGTAAAATAAAATAAGTTTTTTACTATCAGAGAAAAGTTACTTTAATTTTTAAATAAGGTATTTAATAATAAAGAAAATATTGCTAACTAAAAAAAGGCAATAATTGGAATAAAAGATCGGTTAAATCATGAAATCCTGATCAAAATTCTATAATTTATATGAAACATCATTTTAAGTATATATCTAATGAGAAATGTCTAGAAAAATGAAGGGGAAATGCAGATTAGCAAAAAAATGATATTTCCCAAAGAAGAAAACTGCTTTATATATGATTGGTATAAAGATATTGTGAAAACACTTTTAAAATAAAATACATTTATATATTGGTAGAAGTGATGACTAATATAGTTACCAAAACATAGCAAACATTAGAAAAACTAGGGGGATAATGGCTCATTAAGTGGCTTTCAACATCTAATTTTTGAAAAACATATTTATTGCAAAAGAAAATGCATAAAATTCTAGAGAATATGGCCATCCTAATTTTTTTAACTAATCAAAAAACAAATGAGAAATTAAGAAAAAAAATGACTCTCCAGATGACAATAAAGACTAATGATAAGCAAAAATATCAATTTATTAGAAACCCTCTCTCACTAGCAAGTAAAGAAGCCCTGTACAAGGAAATAAAAATCACCCAAAAAAATCAAGTTTGGAAGAGTAAACGCTAGTAGATACAAAGGGAATCCATAAAAAGAAGAAACATCTTATTATGAAAAAAAGCATAAGAAATCATAAAATATCAAATTACAATAAGTATCTACTGACACTATGAAATCTTTGCACTAAGTCAGGGGTGGTAAACTATGGCTCACAAGCCAAATATTCCCCACTGTCTGTTTGTTGATAAAGTTTAACAGAAACACACAGGCACATTTTGTTTACATTTGTCTATGGCTACTTTTACACTCCACTGGCAAAACCTAGTAGTTGCAAGAGACTGTATGTCCCACAAAGTCTAAAATATTTACCATCTACACCTTCACAGAAAAAAGGTCAGTCAACCCATACTAATAACTAAAAAAAGTGTTTCTTCTTTATTTAGTACCTCAGCAGATTTGTAAGTTGCATCACTAAGAAATTTTTCCTGAGCCTGCTGTTCCAAAACTTGAAGTTCATACTCTGTAATATCTAATGACATCAAACAAGTTCTTTCCATATTCTCTTTCAATTTATTGTCTTCTATTCCATCTTCAAATTTGTCTTGTTTTTGTTCTACTTCATTTCCAAGTACATCTTCTCTATCATTTTTAACTAAATTATCAAGTGTTGGGTCCCCTGTTTCATCTTTAACTAACGTAAAAATTGTATGTTCTCCAATTGATTTCTGTTGTACTCCACCAGCAGTTGAATCTTCCAATGATAATAAGTTGAAGTTACTGCTGGGTCCCAGTTCAGTCTCAGTCTTTGTAGTGCCCAAGATCATCTTCCTCAGTAAATATAGATTTTCTGAAACATCCTTTAAGAGGCCAGAAATCCTAAAAAGTAATTTTTAAAAAGTTAATTCAACTTTAACTGCAATAAGTATAAGGACAGGTTTTTAAGTTTTTTAATAAGTAAAAGATTTCTAAGCTGATCTTCACTTAAAGGGCTCACCATGCAAAAGTTGCTCTTCATTCCCTAATACCCATATATAATTAAAGCTCAATAGCAGAGCTAGGTACTTCTGTATCCAATACTTGATTTGCACACTTACTGATAGCCAGTAGTGTTCAGTCCCAAATATATACCCTTTTGATGATTAATGAAATGTCAAGTAAATCTATGATACATGAACACACACACAAAAAAAACTATTTCATTAAATTCTGACTAAGTTAAATATAGTATGTGGAAAGATTTACCAAGCTTTTTTTTTTAAGTTGTTTGATAAACTACAGTCAAAAGAACTGTAAAAGTTTAGAGAAAAAAATCATGGAAATTCCTAGGACTCTGTACTCAGACTACAAGTATCAATTTTTCACTCCATTTAAACTAAAATTAGAAACTGTAGATGATACATTGTGAGTGTGCTTAAACAAGAAACACTGCAGTACTCCAAACAGCAAACAGCAGGCCAATCTATATGTAATTAAAAAGCCTTGACATATACCCAAAAATTGGGAAAAAACATACATAAACATTTTAAGTTAAAAGAAAATGTTTGTCTTCATTTTACCTAACTTTATCAATTCACTGATTAATTACTAGTTCAAACTGCAACACACAAGAGTGTTTATGCTATAACTTGAAAATGATGCTGTTTTGCATCCTCAAAAATCTCAAAGCTGTTAAAATAGAAAAAACTTCCCATCAGTAGGAACATATAACAAGTGAGAAAATATGGATAAGAAGTATATGAATAAATCTAAACTGAATCTCTTAACTCCTTACTCCCAGTTGCTACTGTATAACAATTTAACTATTATTTTATTTTTATTTATATTTATTTTATTTTATTTTATTTTATTTTTTATTTTTATTATTTTTATTTATTTTTATTTTTTAATTTAATTTTTTATTTTATTTCATTTATTTTATTTATATTTATTTATTTTTATTTTATTTTATTTTATTTATTTATTTATT